CGATTGCTTGTATATTATATAGGTACTATCAATCATTGGCCCAATCATTTTCCAAGATAAAGTACTAGAATGGTAAGATCAAACCTCGGCCTGGGGCTTAATAATCAACATACCTTTATTCTCTTCTTTCAGCTCACCCGAACCTGGTACTCTTCATAACCCACGGTGGTCTCCTGTCTGTCACTGAAGCTGTCTACTTCGGCAAGCCTCTCGTCGCTATCCCTGTCTTCGCTGATCAGTTCCTCAACGCGAATAGTTTCCAGAAGATGGGTGCAGCTATTAAAGTGGACCTCACTTACAATTTACATAAGGATTTGGAAGTTGCTTTGAATAAGGTTCTCCCAGAACTTCCGAAGTAAGTAAAAAATGTATCTGAAACCTTTATATTCATTAATGTTGGACGAGCTGGTTTTAATCAGTGTTTGGCACTAATTCTTGTACGTCACCCAGGTCAAGAATTCTTTAGGGTACCATCTTATGATCCGCTAACAAACAAAAATGACAGGCAATAAATTCATAGAACTAGCAGTCGGGCAAGGCAATAGGACAAAACCATAGAATATGGTTGTCTGTTAAAAATGTGAAAAAATAATATAACTTCAAGTGTGAATGTGATAATGCAACATAAAAATAAAATAACGTACCGAATATCGATGATATTAGAAGTTGCATGAGAAGAATAATACAAAGAACAAAATATTAAAAATGTCTTACGGTATTTCTATCACTCGAACTCGAAACTGAATTAGTTAGCGTTAGGGTAGAGCGTGATGGGGCGATGGCCCAGTGCGACAAACTCTGGAGGGCGCCAAGGCCTGAAGTTGGGGTCTCTTGCCTTTCTGGGTGCAAAACCTCAGAACTGTGCTCTACGCTCTGTGCATATGCATATTTTTTTAAGATGGATTTTTTGAGGGTTTTTGGTCGAAGAGTGACTTTAACGATCAGAAAAAACTAACATTTGATATTGCTTCCCTCAAGTGGGCGCCACAATATTTTCGCCCGGGGTGTCAGTGGCGCTTACGCTGGCACTGGACTGAATGTTGTCAATAACAAAATTACGTATAATTTTTACACTTACAGGTACACAGCAAGAATGAAAGAGATATCCGTAGCATACCATGACAGGCCGATGAAGCCGAAAGAAGCGTTGAACTTCTGGGTGGAGCACGTGGTGCGCACGCGCGGCGCCCCACACCTGCGCTCAGTGGCGCTACAGGTGCCGCTGTACCAACAAGCGTATCTAGATCTATTAGTAGTACTTCTAGCAGCTGCTGTAGCTATATTACTAGTAGTTAGGAGAATTTTGAGTTTATTCACATCGGAGGGTACTAAACTGAAAACGAATTAAAGTTCTCTAAATACTGTATGTACCTACCAACTAAAACGTAGTTTTCAAGGAAAGCTTGTTTAGGCATGAATTTTGATTGTGGTTGAAGTCGGCTGTCAGTACTAACTTCTTTGATATGCATCTGAGGTTCTTACAGATATTAGCGTGATATTTTATAGACTGTAGCCTTCCTCAATAAATGGACTTACAAACGCAAAAAGAACTATGTAATTCGAACCTTTATACAATTAGTATCTATATATAATTTTAGATTTAATAAAAGGTCATGCGTTTATCTAAATGAACTTAGGCGTAAATAAAATGGATTCATATTACCAAACACTGATGAATTCGAACATGGTTGACACGATGATGATCGTGGCGCAGATAAAATTGTTCACTGTGTATTATTCGATCCATGCTTGATCATAGTATAACTTATTTTGTGTACATACGTGATGAAAAATGTATAGGATTTTTTGTAGTATTTAAGTATTAGTACAGTTTGAGTATATGTAGGTATATAGGAATTTAGTTGATAGTATTTATATCTAAGTTTGTCATGATTGACTGATGATTATTATTGAAATTATATTTCGTGTGTGTTTTATTTTGTATTATTTTTAATACCTACTCAGCGCAGAGTGACGAGAGACAAATTTTCGAAGGCATTAGTTTAATGGCTTATCCCAACAAGCCTATATTGTGCCTCCAGATTTGAAGTACAGTCGGGATTGCAGGGTAAGCGCAATGAGGCACTGCGACCCCGGCCCAGAGCAGGAGAATGAACAGGGGGGTTTTTAGTCAGTAAGAGTCTGACACTCCCTCCCGCCCTGCCCTGGGTGGGAGAAGTCATTTGATGATTTTCCCCTCATAAAAAAAGGTTTGAAGTTGTTATTTTATTTTAGTTATTACTTAATAATAACCGATTAGTGTAGGTGATTATTAACACGTAATCAGTACGTAATTAAAGTAGTTTTACCTTAATTATTTAATGACATTACCTATTATATATCCACAACGACGGTTCAATACAATAAAATATTGAAATATAACTATTATTTATTCATCGATCTGTCGATACATAAAACTGTCGTTATTTTTTAGCGCATTTTTAAGAAATAAGTAATCTATTTGACAACAATGACGTCATAATTTAGAGTTTCGTAAAATTTGATAGAAAAGACTTTTATATCTCGTTTTTGAATTTGGATAAAAGTAGTGTATTTGACTAGTTGGAAACTACTAGTAGGTACTTATATGAGTCCACAACAACACATATTTAACTGGAGGATAAATTCCTAAAATTGTTTTACCTCTATACCAATATCATGAAGAGGTACTTAAATTATCCTTTATCTAATTACTTTTCTTTTTTCAAATTACTTTTAAATTTTATTTACTAAATTCCAAGAAAAAGCAGAATTTGGTAAATAAACCTACGCAGGTTTTCTAGATCCGGAACAAAAAGTTGTTGATTCTAATGGAAAAATTTCTTCTTTTTGAAAATTAAATAGTTTGCTGGTTTCGAGCCCTAATACATGATAAGCAGCCGCTTCGATATTGAATTAAATTAAATCTCAAAAACCCCTATCTCCATACGGCTGGTCCGACTCCAACTCCTCTGGTGTTGCGGGTGTCCATGGGCGGCGCCAATTGCTCACATGCATCATCGTTTGCCCTCCTACCATAGGTATAAAAAAAACTGTATATCTGTGACTTGACTTCTGGTATTTTTATTTAATTATCAAGTCGTTTTTTGTCTGTATATAATTCCTCCTGTATGTTTGTCTATGCGTTACGTCTACATAAATAAATATTAGTTTTATCATTAGAATATAATAACAACTCATAATGATAACTTCTGCAAACAACACTTGATAGGACCGTTCGTCAGATACTAAACATCGAATCAGTACTTGGGTAATCAAATACGACAGCCCTTATAAATTTCATGTTATATTTCTGTCGCAGGCAATTTCGGTGTAGGCTCAGCTCGCCCTTGGATCTCGCCCCTGATTGCCTAAGTACATCAACTCGCCCCTTTAATTATTAGATACTCCAACTCGCCCCCGATTGTTGGTTAGTTAAAAGTACTGTCAGAGCTCTAAGTTTATAAAATATTTAAATGAATATTTTTTCTTAAAACTTCAATAATGGTCCCATAAAAGGTCCCTTTTGTTACAGTAGGTAAGCCAGGTAATAAAACTATCACAAGTGGTTAAATTACTTACCAGTTTTGTTTACTGTACATTTTTCTGAATATACCTTTTTTAGTTAAGCAAGGGGCGAGTCGATGCATCAAAATAATTATTTAATTTTTAAAATTTTTCACTCGCCCCGTAAGGGTTTTCGTAAGGGGCGAACCACAACTCCAAATTAATAAAAAAACGGGGCGAGTGGAACATTTTAATCGGAAGGGGCAAGATCCAGGGGGCGAGCTGATACTACACCCAATTTCCTTATTAATCAACGGCCTAAATGGTAGTACCTAAGTGTGGGAGAGCCATGCATCGTTACGAATGAGTCGGCTCGACCGGAGTGATAACACGGCCTCATAGATAACCGGCGTGAAAGGTACGACCTGGCCTGAAGCAGGAGATGGAATGGGGTAATTTTAGTCAGTAAGAGTCTGACACCTCTCCCTGGGCGAGAGTAGACACAACATTATTTTAACCGCTTAATAAAAACTGCGTGTTTGATGTAATGAATGAATTTGTGTAGGTATACCTTATCAGTACAGTTTTGGTAGCTTTTGTCTTGTGCATTGATTAATTTTATAAAAAAAAACTATAGAATTTACCCGGTTAATATGATAAATAAATAATAAAATAAAATTTATTGAAGAACTCATAATCTAGAATATACACGGTTGCTTAAAGCTATACAAAGTTCATAAGATTGGGTTCCCGAACTAGGACAACCTGTGTTTAAAGGCGAAAGTTGGTATAAAGATATTATTTATACATTGTTAAGTACTCAATATATTTATCGCATTCCAAAATGTGAACTTAGGTGGTAGGGTACATAAGGATTTACAAACTTATATTAGTTTAGGAGCATTGTGGGCCGTGTCGGGCATAACAATATTATTAACAAATAATCATAAGTACATTATTAAATTAAGGAAATAATGCTACTATACATACATAAATAACAGATTAATGTCTTACTATATTTTTTATTTTTACTCCTAAGTAGTGGTGGACCGGTTAAGAGCCCGTTTCTTGTACGTGATAGTGCGGTTCAAAACCTATACCTATACCTTACTATACTTTCTAAGTCTATTAAAATAACACTGACTGAATACGGTGGAAGAAAACATTGCGAGGAAAACCTGGACTTGTAGTTAATTTATATTTTTTGTCAATCCGCCTTGAGCAAGCGCGGTGATTAATGAACCTTCTCCGGGTGTGAAGAGACTTTAGAACTGCAGTGGACACTTATGGGTGGCTAGGCTGATGATGATGATAGTTTTCTTCTATAATAATTATTTTTCGTTTACTGTTGACAGTAGCAATGACACTGTTCACACTGTTTAATGATATTGTTCTTATATACATACTTAGAACTAAATATTTATCATAGGCTATGTCTATAGACCAAAGGTATTCCGATGGCATCGTGTTTACAAGAACAAAGCATTATAAAGGAAATTAAATAGATATTATATTCATTCAACCAGATAAACGCATCATTAAAGAAGAAATAGTCGGTCGGTCTAAATTTAAACCCAGTCGCATGGTCACTCCGTTCAGTATGTGACCGCGTGCGTGAACGAAACAGACAAAACGAAACGTACAATTTTAAAATTCGAATAGAACGCCGTGTTATTTAAATTTTAAATAAAATTATTTTATTGAATTCTAGAATTTTGATATTAGTCCATTTTGAATAATAAGTGTTTACTCAGTCGTTTTTATTTTTTGTGGACATTTTATTTGTGTTTTGAACGATGGAAAAATTTAAATGCTTACTGTTTTTTGTGGTTGTAAGCTTGTGTTCTTGTGATGCTTACAAGATCTTGGCTGTGTTTCCAATGCCGAGTCCAAGTCATGGCATCCTTGGAGACAATATGGTCAAACATCTTCTAAATGCTGGTCATGAAGTAAGTAGTAGAAATCAATACAATTTTCCTCAGTTATTTTTGTGTTAACTTATAAATTATTTACATTTAGAAACGTGACATTTGAGTACATGAAATAAAATTTACAAATCAATCACTATAACAGCTTAGATATTTACATTTATAATTAACTAGCGGTCCGTCACTGCTTCGCACGTGTGTCATTTATTTGTTTTGTTAGTTAACCACTATCGCATTAGAGAGGTTGTTATTTCCCTAGATACCTTCAACTTTTATAAAAAATAATAATTATAACAGTCATAGTCAGTATAAAAATGATTATCAGAAATTGGTCAAGCTGTTCACGCGTGATGAACAAGGGAAATCGGGATTCTGTTTTATAAATAGATAGATAGTAACATCATATTATTTGGTAGGTTATAAAAACTATTTGCAACATTTCATTTTTAATTTATTTAAATTCAGATAATAATGAAATTCAATTATATTTCACTTTTCAAAAGTTTAATCTAAATCGAATAGGCTTTTTTGGGTTTTTATTTTATTTTCTTTTTCTTTAAATATTGTTGTGTTGGGAATAGTTCGTTAGAGGTAAATGTAGTTATTAATTATATATTGAGTGGCTTCTTGAACTAATTGAATTGTTTCTATCAGGGTTGCCATTTTTTGGTTCTTTGTAATCCATAAAATGTTACAAAATAAATTATAAATGCATTTAAATATTTTTGACGTTCTCTAAGCTTAATTGACTATTTATAACAGACTTACGAAATTGTCATGTATTTTGATATAGGCACATACATATGTTCTCCGATAACTCGAAGATGTCTTGACTGATATTTATAAAATATATTTTGTTTGCAATAGTTATGTACGACCCAGGTGTCAAGGTCGTTAGATTAGCATACGTTGACGGAAGCCCAAAGAAACCGGAGTACGCAAATTAAAACACTTTGAAAACGTACATATATATTTCAATTAGCTGTCTTTCATAAAATAATGGTTTTGATGACGTTCTTTAAGTACGTTAGTTTATACGATTGCTATATCCACAGAAGAGATGGGAATAAAGAATTCTTGTCTCATGTGACAGGGTTTAAAATACACCGAGATATCTTATAAATATTATGGAGCGCTTAATACGGTAGTTTCGAATACAATACTTGTATCCAAATGTCAAAAACGATACTTTTCTATGAAATTTTTATGAAATACTGAGTTATGACGCCATAGCATTTTTACGCCAAATAGCTTACTTACTTCTTAAAACTTAGCTAAAAAATATTTAAAATTTAGTGTACCTATCGATCGATCGATGAATGAAAGTATAGTTTTTTTTTTCAATATTATATTGTAGTGAAACGTCGAATTAATTTATTTTTGACCCAGGTAACTACCCAAATGTACCTAATTAGAAGCAAATAAAACAATATATTTTATAAACTAGTTACTCAATTTCCATAATACGATAACAGAATCAGCTATAATAAGATCGTACCATGTAGACGGACATTCATCCTAAATGTTACTGATAACTATACTGAACCGAACTGAACATGATAGTAATTACTGCAAACTCCCGGGAGCTATGTTAAAATTAAATCAAAATGAATAATTCTCCTTGCATGTCAATAAACAGGTATTATATTTTGAATATTTCAAAACATCCCTCCATACCTCCACGATACTAATCTTATTACTCATCTTAAATCCTAATACCCAAAAGTCCGGTTCCATCGGGTTAGCCGTCAGCTCCTTAAAAAACAGTTTATATACAGCTATAAAATAAAAAAGTAAAAAAGGTGTCTAAATTATCTTAGAAAGTACATATAACCCGGTCAAATAAAAATCAAATCGGTAGGTTTCAAACCCCTAGTTTCAAACCCCTCATGCATGAGAAGCGTGCGACTTAACCTCCGGCCCACCGCGACGCTCGACGTTTTTTGTCACACAGCATACTTCACTTATTTCTCTCAAATTATCTAAGTAATCGAATATTCAGTATGTCGTAAAATTTATAAATGTGTGTTTTTTTTCAAATATCTTGCATACTTTTGTAAGTTAAAATAATACATTTTCGAATGAGGAAACTGCCAAATTCATATTCCTTTTGCTAATATATTTTATCGATTTGACGATTTTCAACCAATGACCTTGCAAAATAATATAGATACAAACGGCTCAGTTATTTAGTATCTACGCAGCTAAGAAATTAAATATTTACTTAGTACTGAGAGTATGGTCATAATAAACATATAGTTAGTTTTTTATGACAGCTATTAGTCGCCTCAGAAGCAATCCAATGGTTCAGTAGTACCTATACGATAGTTTCCAACTAGTCAAATTCAATAATTTTATGCAAATGTCAAAAACTATACTCTTAATGAAACTCCAAATTATGACGTTACAGCATTTTAGCATCAAATAGCTAACTTATTTCTTAAAAATATCGAAAAGGAGACGGGGACTTCTGGGCCCTCACGTAATAAGTTGAAGAAGGGATTAAAAAAATGGTAATTTTTTTCTATTATACATAGTAAAAAATCAATTTATTTTACAATCTGGGAAATGAAAAATCCAACAATTTAGTTAGGGTTACGAAGTAATCGGATTATCGATTCAATTGTGATTAATAACTCTGTAACGAACAGAGTTCATACTTTTTACGAAAATGATGTCACTGAATGATTTATTTAATTAAAATAATTAAATCAATTAAACTCACAACAGTTTAAACAGAGTTTAGAGTTTAAATATCAACATAATTAAAAATATTTTATCGATTCGTTTTTACTAATCGATTATTGTATTTTTAATCTGTGCTAGCTCTAACATGTATGACATGACACCGATCAACACTCGTTTCGTATTGTCTATGCGTGTGCGTTCTGAGTGTTTTTATTTTCCTCCCATTTTTCTTATTGGTATTTTCCTCGGCCGGCTTTCCCACGGACCTTTGATTTTCCTCTTTCTACGACCCTTGCCTTGCTACCATTACCATACCAGACACGGAGAACTTCGCTTAAACGTTGAACTTGGACTTGCATATTTTGGATTCGACGAACAGCCTACCGATAGGATATTGATCGACATTATGGATCGTTGTGTAAATTGTCGCTGTAATACAGGACTAGGACTACTAGGACGTCGAGCTTTGGATGACGAAATGACGATTAGACACGACGATATTAGCAGTGATTCGAAAATGGCCAAAGGGGGAGGCCAAAGGAGGAGGCTGACCTCCTCCTTGGCGAGCCTTACTGCATAAGCCTTGCCTGCTAAGTAAACTAAAAAGACGAGAAAGTAGGTAAACAAGAAGTAAGCTATGCTGTGCAGTCGAAGGATGCATCTGGTTTATATTTAATATTTGTTTTTATACAAACATAAATACATACAAATATCCACACGTATACTATTAAAACCATTACCCGCCTCCGGCAATCGGGTAAAAATCACTATCGCACTTCAAAAATTGGCTAATATATATAGATTGATACTTAACCTCACTTTTCTTAAATCTTTTATATCTCGGCTCCCAGATTGCCAATATCTGCGAAATTTTCAGTAATTGTTTGTTAATATAGTAGCTATCAAATGACACCAGTTTCATCTTTTTACATCTAGGCCCAAAATTGTATGAAAGCGTATCCGTCTCCTTTTATGTATCGATAGATTAAATAAAAAATAATTGAATTTTCAATATTTCATAGTATTAATTTATATTTGACCTAGGAAATTACCCAATTGTGTCATCATACATTTTTTTTTTTTAATTTAAATGTAGACTTTGTATTGGACCGTTCTTTAGGATTGCCAGTATGCATATGTGAGCGCCATGTTCGAGACGAAAGAGGTCGCTGTCCAGCAGTGGGGCGGTTATAGCAAAAATAAAATTAATAGATAGATGGATAAATACTTGGTAACAACACGGCTGGTTAGGATGACTGTTGATAAGCAACGCTTTAAACCACAAGTTCAAGGGTAAATTTTTTTGCTGCCAGACTCAATACCTACCAGCAAATTAATACTTATAATGATAAAATAATTATTTTTTGTTTCTTAACATTGTACAGTCATCGAAAAAAATTGACCATTAAAATACTATTTAAGAGAGAATCATGAATTACTTCTCATACCAATATTAGGTATTATACTTAAATCCAAGAACTATGTCACCCTTTTAAAATAATGTTAGCTTTTAGAAATATATGTATGACATATAAAAGCATTTCAAACAATTGAATTAAGAAAAATCAATAAGCAAATTGACTATAAATTTCGACAAAAATTTGTAGTAATCGAAGCCATCAACTGGGTTTTCTATCCATTTTGCTTGGTTGGCACAATAGCTGGTCCACTGGGGGCTAGAAAATGGTTTAGACTCTCCTACAGAACAGTTCTTTTTGTGAATTGTAATTAGGTAAACGTCTAACCGCAATCCACGATTCAGAAGAAAATCCTAGAAGATGTCGTTAAAAACAAATAAAAATATATAACATCATAACAGTTCCATTTGTCTATTAGTGCTGGAATGTTCGAATGTGTCTATTAATTTACTAACATAAAACATATAAAAAAAATAAACAAAAAAATTCTACGGCTCATTGTGTCATGGTATTCAATTAGTATTACAAGCCACCATTATCCGCCTTAGAATAATACTATAATAGTAAGCAATTATAATAAAAATAAATAAAGAATACAATAATATATACAATACAATAAATAATAATAGTCATTTAAAACTAATTATTATAACAAGCAAAATTATAATAACATTAAACAGAGTTTAAGAATATTATATTTATTTATGCTTCGTCACGAATGGGTCGGCTCGACTGGAGTGATACCACGATCTCACAGAAAACCGGCGTGAAACAATTACAGCATTGTGTTTCTTTGTGTGAGTGAGGTTACCTGAGGCCCAATACTCCCAATCCCTTAATCTCCAAATCCCTTATCCCCAAAAGGCCGGAAACGCGCTCGAAACTCCTCTCTTGTTGCAAAATCCTCACCAACAAGTAATCCTGCTGCTCGTTTGCCATCCTATGACATAAAAACAATGTATTTTTAGCAGCTATTTCTGAAAGTAATTAATAACTTTTGACACCCTGATCCTGAGGCCCTGAATACCCGAAGGTTTTTTTTTTTTTATGTAATAGGGCGGCAAACGAGCAGACGGATTACCTGATGGTAAGCAATCAGCGCCGCCCATGGACACTCGCAACGGAGGAGTTACGAGTGCGTTGCCGACCTTTTAGGGATTAGGGATTTGGAGATTTAGGGATTGAGGAGGGATTGGGGAAGGGGAAGGATTGGGCTTCCGGTAACCTCACTCACACGGCGAAACACAACGCAGTGGTTATTTCACGCCGGTTTTCTGTGAGGCCGTGGTATCACTCCGGTCGAGCCGACCCATTCGTGCCGAAGCATGACTCTCAGAAAGGTTCTCAGAAAGAGATCGCAAAATGCAATATGATCGTCCATTCTATATTTTGAGCACTTTTTTTAATAATACATTGTTTTAATTCGTAATCGCTCTTGGCGTTCGAATACCAAAGGAGTTAGTACAAGTGCGTTGCCTTTTTTTTGTGAGGGGAAAATCATCAAATGACTTCTCCTGCCCAGGTTCGGGCGGGAGGGAGTGTCAGACTCTTACTGACTAAAAACCCCCCTGTTCCTTCTCCTGCTCTGGGCCGAGATCGCGGTGCCTCATTGCACTTACCCCGCTACCCCGGCTGAACATCAGCCCTATGGGGCCCCGTCTGTGGTGGTCTATTGGCTCTTTAAGGCGCGCGCGGAACACTACGCGTCGTACGCTCGGGTCTGGTTCTAGTCGGACGGCTGGAATGTCGCCTTCTGCGGCGGCTGGGGCGCGAGGAGGATAGTTCCCTCGCGCGCTCCGCCTCCTCCTTTGCGAGCATAACTGCTTCGCAGAAGGAGGAGATAGCTTCCCAGTTCCTCTCGCTATGAACCATGGCCTCAATTAAGGTCGGGCGCGAGAGGTCGCCGCCGCCGATCACTTCCCTGAGGACACGGCGGTGCTGAGCCCAGGCAGGGCATACCGCCACCGTATGCTCCACCGTATCCTCTAGATGGTCCTCACAATGACGACACTCGGGCGTTTCCTTCCGCTGGATCCGAAACAGGAACCTACTGAAGCTGCCGTGCCCGATAAGCACCTGCGTCAGACGGAAGGTGAGGACGACGTGGCGTCTCTCAAGCCACTCCTTAAAGAGGGGTCTTACCGCTGCTATAGTAGCTTGCCCGACAAGTGCGTTGCCTGCATTTTGTGTTTTATTAGGGATTTAAGGATAGGGGATTTGAGGAATGTGGATTGGGGGAAGGATTAGGCCTCCAATAACCTCACCGACTCAGCGAAATTTTTTTTTTTTAGGGCCGTGTTTGGTATTACACCGGTCGAGCCGGCCCATTCGTGCCGAAGCATGGCTATCCCACAGTTAAAAACCCCTCCAATTCCTTCTTCTGCTCCAAGCCGATAGCAACCGCATCCCTGGTTCCGACTTCGGATTTGAACGCCAATAAAATGTACTTTTAATTAAATATGAATATTCGGCAAATTGAATCTATAGTTGATAACCCCAAAAGATAAAGTGTTACATAAATGTCATGTTTAAACGATATCGAATGAATGGCTCTAATTCTAATTTTACTATCAAGAACGTAAATATGTACATATCGCTATATATATAATTATGTACTCTGGCTCTAAGGTCATTTTCCCACACACAGAGACACATTGACAAACGGTGAAGAAAAACATAGTGAGGAAACCTAGACTTAAAATTTCTAATATACGAGTAAGTTTGAAATCGCCAATCCGCCTTGAGCAAGCGAGGTATTTAATGCTCAAACCTTCTCCGTGTGAAAAAAGGCCATTGCACAGTATTGCTAATGTGTGATTTATCTTAACAATAATCGCGGGTTACTCACGTATATATACATATTGAGAAAAGCTCTACTGAGTAGCGTGCGCGGACGCGACGTCGCCGCGTCATCATTTGCTCATGAGGAAGAACCCCTCTGTGGTTCAAAACTAGTAGAGCTTTTCTCAATATATACACGTGAGTAACCCGCTATTTTTAGTTAAAAGACATACTAAATGTCTCACGATAGTTATTATAAAAACTAAACAATAATTCAACATAATTTATTAACAGGTAACCTACATAACGCCATTCGCAAGCAAACAGAAGAGTAATCCGAAATTACATATAGTGGATGTCACCGACCATCACAACTTTTTTAATAGTAAGTATTATTTAAGTTTGAATTTATTTTCCAAATTTACTTTTAAAGTCTCTTCGGTATGAACATGTTTAGATATCATAAGTGTGCGAGAGCCATGCACCGGCACGAATGGGTCGGCTCGACCGAAGTGATACCACGGCCTCACAGAAAACCGGCGTGAAACAACCACAGCGTTGTGTTTCGCCGTGTGAGTGAGGTTACCGGAGGCCCAATCCTTCTCCACCCCCAATCCCTCCTCAATCCCTAATCCCTAAAAGGTCGATAACGCACTCGTAACTACGTTGCGGGTGTCCATGGGCGGCGCTGATTACTTACCATCAGGTAATCCGTCTGCTTCTTTGCCGGTCTATTACATAAAAAAAATAAAATTAGCACACACATGTCATCACATTAAAGCAAACTAGAAATGACTAGTAAGCATCTACATTGTCCAGGGTTTTTTTAATGGGCTTGTCCGACCACACCCACCCAATTAGTAGATATAGCCATACAAACACCGGAACAATGAAGTCCGGCACATCCCAGGGACATAAATGACTCTTTTAGATCCTGCAACGTAATTAATCAGAAGATATTATTTGAGGAGAAGAAATAACTAAATAGTTTCCACTTCCCTCAGTAAATTTAATGCAGGAGACAGAATGATTTAAGTCTGAAATGCACATAAGAGCAAAAAGAGGAACTAAAACTCACTCTTGCCCCACCCAAAAGAGGGAATGGAGAAAAATCATTCGATGGTTTTCACCCTCAAAGAAGAATCTACGATGGTGAAATTGCCATCATAATTGTAGAATTATCACAAACTCTTCTCCGTGATTAACAATGTGTTTCAATCCCTATCAGTAACTATTTCTATGATATTTATTGTTTTAAAAACGAGAAAGAATAAGGAAATAAAAAATATTAAATTTTGATAAGTCTTATGACATTTAAAATGACACATAAAAAATCAAAAATTCATACATTATCAGCTATTTTTAAACAAAATGTCACACACAAGAAGGTCATTTAACGAGTATTATATTGCGATGCATAAATTAGCCAACAATTTTGATTTTTCTTTATTATCCAAAAAACATTATAAACGCAAAAGATTGATTTCAAAACTTGTCACCTCTTAGATTTTAATGAAAATTGCCACAGAGATAGATTATAATTCATCATAACACATGTAAAGTAGGCTTTTTATCCGAGCTTACTAGCTACTACTACTCTAGGCGACGCTAACGAAAATTGTATTCATCGGCTTAGTCATGTGAGACGAGAAAAAATACTACCACTACACGAACCTACTTTGTAAGAAGTACTTGCATCGCACCTACCAAGGATACCCTTCTCTTCGAGAATGTTTATTTGGTGTTTTTTTGTGATGGGAAATCATCAAGTGACTTCTCCCGCCCAGGGTCAGGCGGGAGGGAGTGTCAGACTCTTACTAACTAAAAATCGCCCCCGTTCCTTCTGTGACTCATGGGCTTACCCCGGCTGACTTACCCTGAAACTCCGGCTATTTTTATAATGTCATGAGTTCGTGATTATTTTAAAAGTATTTTTTTTTTCTGTTAATTTTAGGTTTAAAACTTCTTCCATCTTTATACAACAATTTTATTGCTTCAGGAAAACAAAGGTATAGGCACGGTGAATAAGAAACATTCGATATTTTGAACAGTCCATCACAGTCCAATATATATAATTTAGACTACACTCCAGTGTTGGACGTATATAGTGTGTATGTTGAATGTATGTGTAGAATTTTGTTGAGGAGATGAATTTCATAATTAGTAATCATGGAGTTCTCGCTCGTTCTTCTCATCTATCTACACTTTGGAACGAGTAAATAGCTTCAATAGAGGATTGACCGTCAGACTGATATTTTTTAACTTTTATTTTTAATGTATAATCATTATTTTGTTTGACTTTCAAAACTGTCTCTAATGGTCGAATAGAAATAAATGATTTTGACCTTGACTTGGTATTAGATTCTTTCAGTTCTTATTACATTTGATCGCAATCTCACACCAAAAGACAATCGTCTACAAGGATATTACGAACTAATCAAACTTCTTGCTACAAGATGCAGTTCATTATTCATTGTCTATAGGCATTCGGACACCATTCAATGATGAAATCGCCAGAGCCGCGGTGAGCCAATGGATTCAGATAGCAATTGGTCGTTAGACGTGGAGGACTAAGGGCCTTTGTTCAGCAGTGAGCCTTCCGGCTGATGATGATGATGATATTCAAACCATTACGGTCTTATTACAAAAACAACAAATGCCGCCATAAAGATCTTTTTGCCTATGGCTAAAAGATCTTTATGGCGGCATTTGTTCTTTTGATCGATTGGAAACTAGAAAATTAGGCACATATGTGTCAGAAAAAAAATGAAATGTGTGACATTCCCTGTTCTTCGCCAATAACTATTTTAAATTTATTCTAACTTGTTCTAATCATCAAACCCCAAGCGAACGCTGGCGTTCGCGCACCTATTTGTTCTTCTTTTGTGTCTCAAATCAACACGATTGAACGGTTATATTGTTTTTCAACAGCGGATCTGTTGGACATCACACAAATACTGGCAGGGTCAATGAACTTCAAGGATCCCAACTTTGTGTTCTCAATGATGATGAACATAGCTGCGATGACACTGGAACACCGGAACGTACAGAAACTAATGAAGGATCCCCAACAGAAGTTTGACGTCATCATTGGCGAGTATATGTTTGCTGATTTATATTCCACGTAAGTACAAAGGTTATAATTTATAAAGTCTATAAATTCAAAAAGAAATGAAAGTAGGACCTTAATGACAAATAAATAGAACCTATACTAAAATATTTTGAAAACATCCTATATACCTACTATCCTACTATACCTATATATATACATACACATATAAACGCGAAAGGTTGTAAATACCCATAGAATTTCATTAACCTAAAACTTCTAAACGATCTGACTGCACGATTGGCGCGGACTGGCTCCTGCGCAACGTGTCGCAGGATTGATTGCCACACAGAACAACTCTTTGTGTGATCCACAAATTGTTGTTCCGGGTCTGGGTGTGGTATGAAATTATACGTCCGTAAATGCACCCACGACTCAGGAGAAAATCCTAGTCCGGGGCAAAAAAAGGTTTGAAGGGAATGAAATAGAATAACACAATTAAAAAAACAGCAAACAAAACGAAGCTTAGTATTATTAATGAGAATTTTATTAGACGTAAGAAACATGACATTGCAATAATCAAATTGGTGGTAAATTCAATATTACAATCACAATCTTTATTTCCCTTAAATCATGATTAGATAACTTTGAACAATTCTGCAAAATATTTGAATTCAACCATCTGTCAAGACCCCAAATGTATTTTGATATATTAAAAGTTAATAGTTAATAGAAAAAGGTAATATTGACTTCGATCATCAATTTCAGATTCCCAGCAGTATTCCAATGTCCTTACATCTGGTTTTCAACGATTGAGCCTCATTGGATGATTGTGAACTTGGTTCATGGTCCGATGAACCCAGCCTATAATGGAGACTACATGTATGCCAACATACCACCCTTCAGCTTCATGCAAAGAGTACAGGAACTATGGATCCTGCTGACAGGACTTTATAAGCACAACAAGTAAGTAACGCTAGTTTAATTTAAAAATGAATCCCGATTTCCCTTGGTCACGGCATTATTCGTGATTGGCTGCACTAACACTGATAATTCTTTATATGTATACATATATGTTTTTATATGTTGAAGGCGAGAGAGAGTGTCAGACTCTAACTGACTAAAACCCCCCGTTCCTTCTCCTGCTATGGGCCGAGGCCGCGGTGACTCATTGCGCTTAACCCGCAACCCCGGCTGAATATCAGCCCTATAGGGCCACGTCTGTGGTGGTCTATTGGCTCTTTGAGGCACGCGCGGAACGCTACGCGGCGTTCGCTCGGTACTGGATCTGGTCGGGCAGCGAGCAACCCTTACTCGCCGTCCGCAGACCCGCGCTTACGGTGGCCGGAGATCGTCTCTCGATCCTCGACGCCCGGAATGTTGCCTACTAGGGCGTGAGAAGGATAGTTCCCTCACGCGCTCCGTTATATGTATATATGCTGTGTTTTCTAAAATAAGGAGACGATTTATGCATGCATACAACTTTTAAGGAAAATACAGAAGAATATCTGGAAATAACAACCCTGACACTGACACTTGATGTATTTGAATATCCATGCAAAACAGGAGTGGGTCACTAGTTTCATAATATAAACCTGTTAGGTTTGTTTGCACGTGCTAAACTACGAAAATGCTGGTTCTAATTAAATCTATTTATATTAAATTGTCCTTAAAGGATTAAATAGCAATAGGCGGGGTTGACCTAAGTACGATGAGTAAACTCATCTCGTATTACTTCAGACTCACATGTGCTTATGGAATGAAAAGTATCTGTTACTTTGTGTTACTGAACAAAGAGATTAATGTAAGGCTGACCGAAATTCTGTAAATTTCATTATGTCGAAATCACGCAATGATCATGACGATGTAATCTTGACCTTTGAAAATACTACGACCAATGTATACTAAAAGTCATGACTACAATAAAATTATTATGCGTGCCTTATACTACAAGTAATGATGACGGTTCAATTATATTCACAAAAATATCCTCAAATCCAGCAATTAACGAATAAATCATGAATCAGTAATAATCTGCTGAAGCAATCACAATAAAATGACAATTATTTTTTATCGATATCGTAACTATACTGTACCTAATTTATTTCGTTTCAAAATTTGGCATGTCTGTCGTAGAACTTTCAATTGGGATTTTTTAATTCAATGAGTTACATCTATTTGATAATGACAAGATAACCAAATAATACTAAAGATTATGATACCCATTAATGACTATCTATGTGACAGATAAACCAATGAAAACAAAACTGGTTATTATCTTCTTTACCGTTAAAAACTGGCTATTGAGACCTTATCACTGTACGTGTACAATTTGATTTAAATTCAAATGCACTAAAATATGGTATTCTGCAATAATAACGCAAAAGCCATTATGACCATTCGCAAGGTGTTCTAAGATGATTTCTTTAAAAATTAGTCTTAGTCTTGTCCATAAATCGTTAATATTTATCATCATCATCATTGTAACATGCAACTTGACTCCAAGTATTGTATTCTTTCAGTGAATATTACAAACGAGAAGAAGAAGTCTACCAAAAACATATAGTTCCTATCTTGAAGGAGCAAGGGAAACCAGTACCTGATTACAAGGTGCTAAAGTATAATGCATCGTTACTGCTAGGCAACTCTCAAGTGGCGATTGGTAACGCAGTACCACTTCCACCAAGTTACAAGCACATTGGTGGTTATCATATTGAAGATGAGGTTAAACCCTTACCAGAGGTGAGTCAATCAACGTAATGAAATTTGAGGCACTAGTCAAATCTTATGATCCTTATTTTAAAGCCAATACCAATGAAAATTCTATGTCATCGCTTAATTATTTTCCAGGATTTGAAGAAAATAATGGACAACGCGAAAAATGGCGTAATTTACTTCAGTTTAGGCTCCAATTTGAAAAGCAAAAATCTACCAGATGAACTAAAGAAAGGTTTGCTGGAAGTATTCGGAGGACTGAAACAGACTGTCTTATGGAAGTTTGAGGAGAATCTACCGAACCAGCCCAAAAACGTTCATATCGTTCAGTGGGCACCACAGCAAAGTTTATTAGGTAAGAATCATCTTATAGAACAAACAATAGGTATATAAAAAAGGATTTTTATATTCAATACGACGTAGCAAGATAAATAAGGCTACAAGTTGTAAATCCAAGAAGATATTATATCCGTAATGACCAAGTGGAGGCAATGCAATTTGCTTGTCACTTTTAAATAACTATATGACGAACAAAAATAAGGGGGTACCATACTTCGGTACGAATGGGCCGGTTTGACCGGAGTGATAACAATGCTTCACAGAAAACCGGCGTGAAACAATACATAGGCTTTTTTGCTGAGTGAGTAAGGTTATCACAGGCCCAGTCCTTAAAATTCCTAACCCTCAAAAGGAAAACAAAACAGCGCACTTCTGACTCTTAAAAAAAAGTTGGACTATTCAGAAGCAGCGCAGATTTGCTTACAAAAATGTAATCCTTCTGCTAGAACTAAAAATAAACAATTGCAGTAGCATTAGCAGTTACTACCTAACAATCCACGTAACATAATACTACAATACCACTCGTGCATTGTTCAATAAATACTATCCATAATGAGTACAAATTGAAACTAATTGACAAAGTACACGACATGTAATTCAAACTCAAATGACATGTAACAAATAACATGGCCTTGGATATTATTACATGACAATTTTAAAATCATCTCAGAAAAGGACAGGATGTCGGTAATCTTTGCACAACGTTATTTAGCGATGTAATAATACCTTTTTATGTATGTATTCTGAATTTATTACATTATAAAACAATGGTTTATTTTCGTTTACTCGTATACTTGTCATCATGTTGTGGTCGTCATTAGAATTATGTGGGATCTGCCTTCATTAAATGACCATAGGTACGTGTATGTGTTTTCGTATCGTACGTCATTCGACACCGTGAGATCGACCTTGATCTAAATTCTATATGTAATATCCGTAATTGTATCATAATATATCATTACTTATTTGTATAGTATTTTTCCCTTAAACAATGGTTTTTGAAATTTATTTTTATGTAAATTTTGCTCTTCGTCTTATTTTTCGTTCGTTAATAATCAAAAACATGTTTTCCAAAACCAAGCCAATTTTCGAAACAGATTTTGAAGTATTACTGAGAGTATCAAGTCTCGCACACAACAGAGGAATTACGAGTGTATTCAAACCCTAATGGTTTTGGAGATAATGGAGTTTGAATTAAAGATAAGAGAGGAATGGGGTGATAAAAAGATTGGGTCTTCGGTAACTTTACTTACACAAAGAAACACAACGCCATGATTATTTAACGCCAGTTTTCTCTTAGGGTCGTGGTATCACTCCGTTCAAGCCGATCCATTCGTGCCACCCCATGGCTCTCCCACACTTAACGGTAACCAACTTTATACATACTCCAATATTCTTCTCCTTCTTTCAGCCCATCCTAATTTGGTACTGTTCGTCACTCACGGTGGTCTTCTATCACTCACCGAGGCAGTTCACTTCGGGGTTCCAGTTATTGCCATTCCAGTATTTGCAGACCAATTTCTGAATGCTAACCAAGCCCAACACAAAGGAATTGGAGAAAAAGTAGATCTTACTTACAACTTACATAAGGACTTGAAGGTCGCTCTGGACAAAGTTCTTGCTGATCTTCCCAGGTAAGTTACATTCAATAAAAATAAAGTCTAGTAGTACTTGCACCACGAATACCTGTCTCTGAACAGTTGTAGAAATATATACATTTTCTTCTATGACTGCTCGGCTGGCACGGTGGCTGGGCAACTGGCAACGTAACCCAACGTGTCGCGGGAACAACTATTTGTGTGAACCATAAATCGTTGTTCCGGGTCTGGCTGTGGTGTATGTTTGTAAACGCACCCACGACACAGGAGAAAATTTTGGTTCCCCACACTAGAATTTTCTTAATTTTAACATTTAATGTTTTAATTAAAAAAACCTTATAAGTAATAGTATAAGTTATAGTAAAAAAACATATAAAATAGTAATATTATTGCAGATTAATAAATTGAAAATACTTTCTTAAAATGACTATCTCATAACCTGTATGTTGTTTACCTTCACAGATATACTGCCAGGATGAAAGAGTTATCTACAGCATACCATGACAGTCCAATGAAGCCGAAAGAAGCGTTGAACTTCTGGGTGGAGCACGTAGTGCGCACGCGCGGCGCCCCACACCTGCGCTCGGTGGCACTACAGGTGCCGCTGTACCAACAAGCGTATCTAGATCTATTAGTAGTACTTCTAGCAGCTGCTGTAGCTATATTACTTCTGGTTAAGAAGATTCTATGTTATTTTAAATCTCAGAAGAGTATAAAACAGAAGGAGAATTAAATTATGCGAAATAGAGAATTATTAGGTTATTTATTTTTTTGTTTTTTACTTAACTAAAGGTGTAGTTGTAAGATAACTTAAAAAATAAGAACTAGCTGTGATTGGTCATATCCGAATTCTGTTACTACTCAAACTTATGAATTTATATAAATTGAATAGTTATATATTGATATGTGACAGCCAAATATTTGAATTATCCAACCTTTAATTTCTTATTAAAATTGTAAGTTGTGTACTACCAGAATGGTAGTTAAGGTAAGGTTAAGGCTGTGAACCGCACAGATATCGAAGAAGAGATCGAATGGAGAAGAATCGATTGAAGGTCAAATTTGATTGAAAGGCAATGAATCGATACAAATGCTTGGAATGCTTATGATAATGAAGTTAATGATGATATTTATGAATTATCTAGAAATTCCTCTCTCTTTCTTTTGTGCCCTGTCCCTCAAGTCCTTGGATTCGTCCAGGGACCGATTTACTTCTAGTTTTTATATTCTATAGCGTTTTTTGTTCTTTTATGAGAAAATATAATAATTAAAATATTATAGCTAAGAATAAAGGAATGTTATCGATGATGAGAATTATGCTGAAATCGCGTACCTATTTTTGTATTTATAAATACTTTATTATCCGAAACAAAAGCGGTGGGATGTACCTAAGTGATAAATAAATTTTGAATTTTATTTGCTTTCTGATAAAAGACATCCGATTTTAAAGACACAGTAATATTTGTTTTTTTTATTATAATGTATTACTTAAGGTGACCTTATTTTTTGTAAATAAATTATATAACATTAAATGAAATAGTTTGTTTCTGTTATTGTCCCTTTCTGTTATAGCTTTAATGATGCACGGGTGGTGCAGCAGCTCGGCAACTTGCTACTGTGCAACCTATTGCGGGTTCGATGTAATCACACTGTTACTTAGTTACTTATAAATTTAATATTTAAAAAACCCCCGACAAAAATTCTAATATTGCTTTAAAAAGTAATAATTAAAAAAAACGTGGCGTTGGGGGACCGATCCAAATATTTTATTATCTACTACATATTTTTTATACTTTTTATAGGTACTTTTTATCATTTTCTCTCGATTAAGTCATCCACATTCCCTTTCAGTGCGCTTCCATTTGAGACCCCACTCGAGTATATTTGCAGACCTTAGGTTACCCTTCCCCACTTACCTCCCATAACTTCTAAACGGCTCAACCGATTTTCGTCAAACATGTCTAAGAACACTCGTACGTAAGTCACATTTAATACAAAAAAAACTAAATTGACAGACAAACAGTCAGACAGACAGACACTACTATAGGGGTTGCGGGTATAAGGATTGGGAAGGGATAGGGGAAGGGGAGGGATTGGGTCTCCGGTAACCTCACTCACACGGCGTAACAACGCTGTTGGTTGTTTCACGCCGGTATTCTGTGAGGCCGTGGTATCACTCCGGTCGAGCCGACCCATTCGTGCCGAAGCTTCGCTCTTCCACACTAATAAAATCGCGCCTCGCTTCAATGAACTTTGGATTCAGTAACGTCTTACCTACAACAAGTAAGGATGACTTTCAATTATAGCCACTTCATAATGAGCTCGTTATAAAATTATCTTAATGACCTACGCTACGTGTCGATAACACTGTTTTGTTTTATAAATACAGAAATACTCTATCAATAATAGTAATTTGTCAATGATAAGCAACAATCATATGCTTAATACAATGACTAAACAATAAAGTAATGATGACGATACAGTTTTCAAAATAACAATTTTTTATCACAGATCTGAAAAAATAAATACCTAAATTCATCATCATCATGATCTTCTTAGCCTTAACTAATCTGACTTAGAGTCTATTATTGAATGCACTTGTATATAGGTATTATGATCCATTTATACAAATAACGAGCAGTCGTTTTACCACACCATATGAATATTTTTAAATCGCTGCAACGCTGAGTCTACGGCTTCATCTATATTAATACATAAGTATGATAATATACGATGATTGTACATTATATTATGTTAATTATTTGGTTATAAAATTACTATGTACCTAATATCTTTTTCATTTGTCTTCATTTTAATCTTAATTTACAATATCTTTGCACAATCCTAGGTTTGCAAATTTTCTGCAAAACCTAAAATTGACTGGCAGAGAATGCTATATAACATTAAGTCCGCCTTATGTTTCTTTATCAATCATGTGTGCATTAAAGTATAAATAAAAAAAACAATAGAGTATAATCGTGATAGAAGTTTATTACAAAATCTTTTTTAATTCTTCTTATCCTTTTTCGTATTATTTACAGTCTGCTTGGACTTAATACGACGGTACAGATTCCTAAGCAGAACATAAAGAACTCGAAGAATGACTAATAGTAGGGCTATTAGATCTAGGTACAGTCGTTGATATAGTGGCACGAGTAAAGCAGGAGAGCGCAGGTGAGGAGCACCACGCGTGTTCACAACATGCTGGACCCAGTGACGTAGTTCTGCTCCCGGCTTCACTGGACGATCATGGTAGATGTAGGATAGCTCCTTTACCCTCTGTCTGTACCTGTAAAAGTCAAATCAAATATAAATATGTTGCGCCTTTTGCTTTAATATTTAAATTTTTCAACCAGCTAAAATTTCATTCCATTAGCCGTCGAATATCTCCTCGTTGCATAAAGATGCCTACATCAATGTAATCCCAAGATGATAACTGATATTGTCTATATTAAAACCTACTTAAACAGTCATGGGGAGTCCCAAAACTGAAAGTATGATCCAAAGTACGATAAAACAATTTTGGACCCAAGATTGAAACTTAAAACACCTCTATCAACAAACCAAATGAATACTGCAATACTTACTTAGGATTATGCAACATTTCTTGAATCGCCACTTTTAAATCGGTTGCCAATGAGTAAGACAGCTTAACTTGCAGAGCAAAACCTCTAGTTACGGCTTTCTTGACATTGATGAACTGATCTCCGAAGACAGGAATGGCAATGGTCGGAACACCGTAATGAATAGTTTCTGTAGTAGACAAAAGCCCTCCATGGGTGATAAATAGCACGCATTTTGGATGAGCTGAAATCAAAAAAGTTAAACATAAATAATGATAATAAGAGGGCCTAATGGATGTTCTAAAAGTAAATATATAAAAAATACTACAGCTTGATCAATTTGGTCAGAAAACTCAATTGTGGTTTTAAAAACATAACAAAAGTAATTCATAATGCTCTCAAACGTCGATATCTACAGCATTCACCCACCCACATAAATATTAACATCGCAATGTTGAAAACGACTGATGTTTCACGGATCATTATTGCTCCCGTGTCGGCACTTTCCTCGGTAATGTCTTTAACATAAGTAATAAAACGGTAAAAACATACCTAAAATGCTGGGCTGCGGCGCCCATTTCAAAATATGAACATTTTTCGGCACATTCGGCAATTCTTCTTCAAATTTCCAGAGCACAGTTTGTTTTAGTTCTCCAAATAATTTAAGGAGATCACGTTTGATCTCTTCTGGCCAGTCCTTGCTCTTCAAGTTGGAACCCATGCTGAAATATATGACCCCGTTTTTGGCATTCATCATTATCTTTTCCAAGTCCTAGAAAAAAAAGTTTATATTAGTCACCTTCTTAATTAATATTGTTCTCTTGTCTAAGAACATAATAGTGTACAGTAAAATTTAATTTTAGTTTAAGAAAAAATCTTTGCTAGTGAAACCTAATTTTATTAGCCCTCAATAAAAATTTGCCCAAATAAATGCTTCCCTACGAACACTTAAGATTAAAATTTGTTAAAATTAATAATTACCTCAGGCAATGGTTTGACTTCTTCCTCGATGTGGTAGCCTCCTATAGACTTGTAATTCTGTGGCAAGCCCAGGGGCAGACCAATAGACACATGTGAGTTACCTAACACTAGAGATGCGTTAAATCGGACTTCACTGTAAGGTGGAGCTTGCCGACCTCTCTTTTGGATTTGAGGTATAATTAACCTTTCATATTCTGCTGCCTCCAATGGCTCATAAACCCTGAAAAAGACGAAACATATACGTAATTATTATTATTGAATTTAACTACACTCACTTACTTCGTTCAACAACAAAATGTCTTTGATTAAATACAATTTATTATTTTTTTAAATGAAAGTTAAAGTAAAGATCATTATAAAATAATTTTACAAAAATTCTATCAGCAATATTCACTACTTAATATTTTAGTATAAAATTAAAATAACTCTGACCACAATAAGGCATTTGTCAAAGAAGAAGAAGAAATACAGACTAATCAATAGTACTTACATGTAGTCATTGTATTCATCGGTTATTCTTATCCATAGCTCTTCCAATCTCTCCAGGAAATTAAATGGTGGCATATATAATGACAAAGCATCAGAAGTATAAGCAGGGTTCGGTAAAACATCGACCAAACCCATCGAGAGTGAGTTCACTTCTACAGGACTCACCCAGATTAGAGGACAGTTGAATATCGTAGCATAGCTGGAACAAAAACATAAAAATATAATATTGAACACCCAAAAACCAAGCTTCGGTACAAATGGATCGGCTCGGCCGGAGTGATACTACGGTCTAACACAACACGTGAAACAACCATAGTGTTTTGTCCAAAAGCTCTTCTGGTGCTGGTGACCATGGTGGCGTCGATTGCGTACCATCAGCTAATCCATCTACTAGTTTGCCGACCTATCGCATATATAAAAACCTAAAGAAAAATTACAATTGGCCATTAACTAGCCATTTACAACATTTATCAACTGCCAAAAGACTGCAATCAAAACTTTTTTTTCTCCGGACTTGTCCAGATATATTTTTTTACTCAAAGCAAAATGGTTTCAGCTCACCCTGCACTAAGATCCGAGAACATATGCTCAACGATAACGACATCAAAGTGCTCATTGGTATCATTCAACAGCCTCTGTATATTTTCATGTTCCAAAGTTTTCTTCACCAGATTAATCATTAACATCTTCACGAACTTCCGATGACCACTAGGCGTGGGGGCTTCCATCAAAATCTTTATGTTTATTTTGTCCGCTATAAATATTAAAATGGAAACTATTAATTTTAATGTGGTTCTTTCCAAGTACGTTAAGGTCTGTTTTGCTTTTCAAAGAATTGGGTAGTTTCCTAGGTCAAAAATAAATTAATTCATTATTTCAATACAGTAAAATATTGAAAAATAACTATACTTTTATTCATCGATCGATCGATAGACTAAGTTTTAGATTTTCTTTAGCTAATTATTAAGATGTGTCGTGGTGGCCCGGAGGTTAAGGAGCCCACTTCCCATGCATGAGGGCGTGGGTTCGAAACCTGGCAAGTACCAATGTGACTTTTTGTGACTTATATGTACTTTCTATGATTATTTAGACACCTCTGACATACGGTGAAGGTAAACATCGTGAGGAAACCTGGACTCATAATATCTAATTATAAGTTTGAAATTGCCAACCCGCATTGAGCAAGCGTGGTGATTAATGCTCAAACCTTCATCGTGTGACAAGAGGCCTGCTCAGCAGTGGGCACTTATGGGCTGATGTGATGTGAATTATTAAGAAATAAGTAAGCTATTTGACGCGAAAATGTTATGACGTCATAATCATCGTCGTTTTTAGCTATCCACCTCAGAATCGGCTTTGCACGGATGCAATGCTATTGCCAAATTCCTGTACTATTTTATAGGCGTTATTCCACATATAAAACTTCCTCATCAGTCACTCCATCTTTAAAAACAATCGTATCAAAATCCGTTGCGTAGTTTCCTACATAGGGGTCTAGGAACAGAAAAAACGACTTTTGCTGTGTGATTTACATATATGTTACTTACATGGTAAGGCATTAAAATTGCTGCTCACATCGATCTGCCGAAGATTTGGTGGAGGGTTCTTATATTCAATAGGAGTGACGTATGTTACCTGAATAAAGAAAACAATAATCAATTTAAAATCAGTCAATTTTGTACAGTATAGTTATGAAGGTATATGATTTTAGAACAAGTTTAAATTTTGCAACATAATTCCACTATGCAATAAGAGATGGCGCTACTGTCCTATGCTGTTTTTGTTGGAACATCAATGTATGAATCTCGTACAAAATTATGTGCGTGTTGTTTGAATGATGATTAGCTGGGCTGATCGTATCACAAATGATTAGAAGGCAGATAATAACATACTTAGTCAAGACAGCAGATTAGGTACCTTATCTAAAAAGATTTTAATATTTTACATTCTTATCTACATCAATTTGTGATTTTTATATGAAATGAAATACAATTATATATTTTCAACCTACCTCATGACCATCTTTTAACAGATTTCTAACAACTCCATTGCCAAGATTAAAGTGGCTATTTGAGGGCATTCCAAACACCACCAGCGCTTTGTAGGCCTCACAAGACGAACTCAGTAGAAGGCCTAAGAAAAGACATATTGCTAGCGCCATTATCTGAAACAAAAAAAACGTTATTTTTAATTAAGAAGAAAAAAATACGAAATACGAATTTTCTGAAATCTCATTTCAGAAGTGTAGAAACTAGAGATCATAAATTATAAGAGAAATCGGCACTCTTATATAAGTAGACGGATCACCTGATGGTAAGCAAAAGCTTCATAGACACTCGCAATACCAAAAGGAATTGATAATGCTAGTAGATTAGGGTTAAGGATATAAGGGTGAGGGAGTTGATTATTGTGCGTATGGGCGATTGAACCACCGGTAATCTCATCGTGGCCAAGGCCAAAGTTCGTGCCGAAGCATGGCTGACAACACTAATAGTAATTTTTTCTTTATGTCATAGATTGCCTAACGAGCAGACCGGATTACCTGATAATAAGCAATCAGCGCCGCCCCTAGACACCCGCAACATAGGAGTTACGAGTGCGTTGCCGACCTTTTGGGAATTAAGGATTTGGATTGAGGAGGGATTGGGGGTGGGGATGGATTGGGCCTCCGGTAACCTCACTCATATGGCGAAACACAACGAAAGGGTTGCTTCACGCTGGTTTTCTTTGAGGCCGTGGTATTACTCCGGTCGAACCGGCCCATTAGTGCCGAAGCATGGCTCTCTTACCCTTCAAAATTGGATTAGATTCTGGGTTCCTCAGTAGGTAAATACCTATTTGTATGATAAGCCTAGATTAAATTGATTTTTAGCTTGTGTATAGCCAACTTCAACAAAATCTATGCTTCCTTACTAATACAAAATAATGTCACAGATAGGCATCATTCGGTTACTGAAAAGACTGGATGAAGGCTGCGAACGTTCGCTGCGTCGCGCAATGCTGCTCATGAATATATGCCTACAGCATAGCTTGAAACTTGTCGAGTTATCTCGACAATACACACAATAATAACATTTTATTGTCTCAATCGCTAGCTCATTCTTTTCCCGACCTTAGATCGTCATATTTTTTACATATTATTTTAATGACATCTTTCCTTTTAAATGGATTTTATACACACAGCTAAATTTTTGTTGTTTTCAAATATTATTTAATTCAATGAAGTACAACTTACGGAAATAAATACATTTAGGAAATAAAACTATATGAGCTTAGAAAAATTAATAACTTGGAATGAAACCTATCTGAGACCAAAATCGAAAATTGATTTCCTTACAGTAGTGTCATCGTGCTCTTCCATATAAGTCCCATAAGTCAGCCTATAAGTGCCCACTGCTGAGCAAAGGCCTCTTCTCACATGGAGAAGGTTTGAGCATTAATCACCACGCTTGCTCAATGCGGGTTGGCGATTTTCCCAGAACTGAATACCTTAGAAATATTATATGGATTTAAAATCTAACAGTTACTTTTAGCATTCATTATAAACGTGTTCCTATACAACAATTAACCTCAATCGGTTAAAGATATCGGCTTTAAAATTGAGTTGCTACATATCACTTTATATATACACAGAAATATCTTGTAGAAAATTCAAAACTTGGCACATAAATTGAACAAAATATACCTAAATACACGTTAAGATTTTCAAGTGTGGGAGAGCCATGCTTCGGCACGAATGGGTCGGCTCGACCGGAGTGATACCACGGCCTCACAGAAAACCGGCGTGAAACAACCACAGTGTTGAGTTTCGCTGTATGATTGAGGTTACCGGAGGCCCAATCCTTCCCCTTCCCTAATCCCTCCCCAGTTCCTAAATCTCCAAATCCCTAATCCCTAAAAGTTCGGCAAAGCACTCGTAACTCCTCCGTTGCGGGTGTCCATGGTGCGGCGCTGATTGCTTACCATCAGGTAATCCGTCTGCTCGTTTGCCGACCTATTACATAAAAAAAAAAAGATTGCTAAACGAAACAATTGAAGTTTGTTTATTTTTTTTTTATGTTGAGCAACTGTTATCTTATATTTAATTATTGCCCTGATTCCGCCTTATCGCTACACCGTTAACTGTCACGTAGCTATAAAATGTAACACGACATCAGAAATATGTTGAATCATATGTATTTGTACACTCGCTTCTAGGTGTCTTCGCCTACAGCATCAGGGCGAAATACCACACCGGGGTCGCGAGTCAAGCGCAAAAGGTACCGAGCCCTCGGCCTGGAGCTGGAGAAAGAACGGAGGTTTTAGTCAGTAAGAGACTGACACTCCCTCTCGCTAGACGAGAGAAGTCACTTGATGATATACCCTATATCTATATGTATGTAAGACCTTATTATGTAAACTACCTATATTTAACAAATCAATTACTCATTCTAATTCTGATTCTGACCCTTAAAAGGGAAAAAAGGGTCAAAAGCAGCCTCTGTGTTATTCCAGGCTATGATCTTTTAATCTGTGTATTTTTTTATGTGATATTGCGGCAAATGAGCAGACACTTTCTGATGGCATTTACATCCGTTCTACCTACTCGCCTACTCATATAGTGTTCAAACCCTGGCAAGAACCAATGTAATTTTTTTCGTTTTAAATGTTCTTTCTATGACCTTTTAGACACAACTGACATACGGTGAAGAAAAACATAGCGAGGAAACCTGGACTTGTAATTTCTAATTATAAGTTTGATATATCCAATCCGCCTTGAGCAAGCGTGGTAATTAACACTCGAACCTTCTCCGTGTCAACTTATAGGCTGATTAAGCGCTGGTTAAGCGCAATGAGTCACCGCGCCCTCGGCCCAGGGCAGGAGAAGGAACGGGGGGGTTTTTAATCAGTAAGAGTCTGACACTCTCTCTCGCCTAACTCTGGGCGGGAGAAGTCATTTGATGATTTTCCCCTGACAATAAAAAAGGTGTCACCTATCTTCTTACACAATTTCAACCAAATCATTCCAGCCGTTTTTGCGTAAAATAATAACAAACATACATACATATATTCTTTCACTTTTTAACATTTAGAATATGAGTCGGATAGTAGAATAGGATGTTTTTTTTTTTATTGCTAGAATAAGTCTTAAGATAGGTACCTACTATACAAAAACTTTTCGATGGATAAGCGGTAACTATTTGATTTTTTTACAAAAATACTAATAAGTAGTCAAAATTCGATCTAACATCAAAGATTTTCTATTAAGATCGGTTATTGAAGTCGGCAGCAGCTGATCCTTCACCTGCCATTTTCGCCATTCGATTTATCGTTACAGCGAATTTTGACAGTTAACCAGCGCATTTCTACCGATCCGATCAATCGATCTGGAAAAACGAAAAAACAAATTCTAATATTTCGTTGATACTAGAAATAAATCTAGGTAATGAAATCTTTTTATAAATATACATACCTCTGATACTCACAATGAAAATGTTGCTTAAAAATTTTTAGTACTATTCCTTAATAACTTTGTAACCAACTCTCTAGAGCACAAGTGAAACCTCGACTGATAAGCTTCACACAAATAATCCTCAATTTATAGGAATAAAATATTGAGCAATAGATATTTAATGTTTAACCATTTTCGATATAATTTCTGCACATTATGTAATATTTTTATTACTTGCAGTTCTTGAATGAATTCAAATATATTGCATACGTATTGCGTAATTATTTTATTTGTTACATTAAATTTTGCAATAATTATTTTTAATTGTTATTTTAAGATTATTTAACGTTTTAAATGTAACTTTAAAAGTTCTTTATTTAAAAATAAGTAAAATGAGTGTGAAAAATTAAATTTTTCCCCCGTCCGAGCAACCTCATACCTACCACCTTTATGCAGATGATCTTCAAGGCTCTTCGCAGGATCCATTGGAAAAATTATCAGAGGCTATTGGAATTATTGATAATACCTTTCCCAAATACCCGAGTGGAACAGATGTAACGGGCTCAGAGTCAATCCGCTAAAAACCCAGTTGATTGTTATTGGTAGTTCACGGATGGTTACTAAAATGGACTGGTTTGATCTCCCGCAGGTTATATTTGATGGCATCCAGGTATCGTTTAGCACTAAGGTCAAGAACTTAGGAATGAAATACGCTAAAAATGCGAGCATCTTTACGACGCCATGCAAGAAGATAATAATACTGTGAGGATGAGCTGTTTAGTAATTTTACTCTCACCTTTTCAGGTGGTAAGGTCTGGTGGTACATGCTACATGGGTAAACGTAACATAAAATAGTGGATCAACTCAGTATCAGCCTTGCACCAGTGCGAAGCCGGTTTGGGTAGCTAGTTTTGAGTAAACTAATATTTATTAAACCTTGCGACAGCCTAATTTTCAAAATAACTTGTGAACTACTATGAACTGCACTAAATGGTATATATGGACTATAAAACATATTTATAGTAAAATGTCTTATGTGCTCAACAAACTACACAGATATGGCGAATTCGTCTGCAAATAAATCCTTCTGGTAAACCTATTTTAGAAATAACGAATTGTACTTCATTTAGATTTTAATGGTTTTTATTTAAAAAGAAACAAGATAATTAAGTCTGATCTAATAATATTTCACGCCAATAACTGGGCCATGCTTCGGCACGAACAGACCGCTTCAACAGAAGTGATACAATGGCCACAAAAATAAACGTCAGTGAAAAAACGTTAGCGAAGTACATATTTTGCTGTGTAATTGGGTTTATCGGATCCCCAATCTCAAAGTCCCTACTCAAATCCTCCAACCTCAACAAATTCTCAAATCCTTAATTCATGATGGCTTACCATCAGGTCGCGCGTATGCTCGTTGGCCACGCTATCCAATAAAAGAATTACCAACCACTCTCAATTCAAAATCTCTACATTATCTAAGATCTAATTTTCGTATGATGCTTCTGGCATGAAGCATGAAGATCTAGATTTGGATGCAAATCGATCGAAATTTGGATGCAATTTATTTAGCTATATCTTCTTCCTACCCCTATCCGAACACTCCCTTATATCTCATCCTGGAGGGAGGGGGGAGAAAACATTTGATAATTTTCCCCTGACAAAAAGAACCCCTATCCGAAGCCATTTGAAGTCGGCACTTAGCATTAATAACTCTTTTTTCCTTTCTCGTTAATCAGAAGCTAAAATTAAATAGTAATCATAGGTATAGTAAAAATATACCTATTGATCTTACCTACACGATTATTAGATTTAGATAAAAATATAAATTAAGATAAAAAAAACATTATTCATATTTATTAGTCAGGGAACAAAACACACCATACAACAAATTTAAGATTAAAATATCTTTTGGTCATTACTTATATAACTTTTTATCTCGTCAATGATTCAACATCATTATGTGTGCAATGACCCATCGCTGTGGGAACATACGGTAATTACTTGATCCACCATACGTCAAATAAGAACAAAACGTTGACCGAAATCAATCTAATACAAATCCAGAAGTCTTCGAAAAAATTTGGTGACAACCTAATAATTTATTTTTGTTTACTGTACGTATTTGTGACCAAAACTAAGGATATCTTGTCATCCCTGAGTGAATAAAACTATGATTTTTTTTACCTAAAGTCGGATAACTTTTTAGTTAGAATTCGATGATTAATAATGGATTCAACGAAACTTATGTTTAATGAAATAATTGTAAAAAATTCACCAACCATAAAAGTCTACTAAACTAAAATAAACGACACAAAACATATAGGTAAATACGATAACTCAATACTTACTAACACAAATAACAAATAAACCAAACACTCAAATAAATGTTGACGATAACAATTCACATCACTGAGTTCAAGGTTACACGTAACAACACAGGATAAATCTGTTTTAAAACTGCTGTAATCTTTAAACACAACCTCTCCGTGTTAGGAGATGAGTTCGACTGAGTTATTCATTATAAAATCACCATAATTACTGATAAAATTAACATCATGGTCAACCTTGTATGTTTGTAGTAAGTCCAAGTAAGTTTGTCAACGTAAAACCACTCTTATCTGCAAAGCTTTAGTTTCTCTCAGATATGCTTTCTCTACAGTCTCTTCATTGACTGACGAGCCGGTTTGACGAGCTGGTTTAGCTGTTTCTGGTTCATGTAACATTATTTCCATATTTCCATAATCTGCAATTGTCATACAATATGGTTTATTGTTACTTTTTTTAACCTTTATTTATTAATCACTTGTATCTATTGTTTCGAATATCCTAATGTCCTATGCTTAGGTATGGACGAGCTCGGCAATGATCGTGATAATGAATATACATCTGAACGTGCCTTGAATGCATAGTGTCTTGATAGAATACTAAAGACATGACAAGTATCCGTTTTAGATAGGTACGTTACAAAAATTAATTAATTAAAAGTTGTCTGGAAGAAATCGCTTTGTGTGATAAGACCAACATTATTTTACAGTATCCAAATATTTCACCTTAGTTTATGTGTACAATAAAGTATTATAGATATAAATAAATAAATAAAATAAATCAGCATGAACATTTCATTGGAAGGAGATTTGATTTTAAAAATGTACAGATTGAAACTAGGAAATCCATCAAGGATTGATGATACCTGATAGTAGAGAGTGTTCCTGTTTGGAAAACATATCACGCTGATTTTAAAAACTTAATAATGGCAGGAAAATAATGATAAGGACAAATTAACAACTGGACTTTAAAAACATAAGCCAGCATACATATCCTTGTTATTCTGTATATTTCGATTGGGTATTTTGGGTCAAAATAAACAAAAACAATTCCAGTGAAAAAAGAACTTATGTATTTCTAATTCCTCTTCTTATTATTAACAACTTTCTTAGACTTAATACGATGATATATTTTTTTAATAAGAGTGTACAAAGCTAGTAGAACTACTGCTAGGAGTGCTATTAGATCTAGGTACAGTCGTTGATATAGTGGCACGAGTAAAGCAGGAGAGCGCAGGTGAGGAGCACCACGCGTGTTCACTACATGCTGCACCCAGTGACGTAGTTCTGCTCCCGGCTTCACTGGACGATCATGGTAGATGTAGGATAGCTCCTTTACTGTCTCTCTATACCTGTGGATATGAAGAAAAAAAGGTTAGGACTATCAAAACGACTTTATATTTTCAAGAATCTTTTACATACGGGAGAGCCATGCACGAATTGGTCGGCTCGGCCATAATGATAAAACGGCCTCGCAGAAAAACGGTGTTAAACAACTTTAGCGTTGTATGACTGGCATGTAATTCGAAAACTGACATCCACTACTGATTTACTTCCTTAACAGTCTGACACTACCTTTCGCCCCACCCAGGCCGAGGCAAGTCAATCCCACATCAAAAAAAAACCTGATTTACTCACTTAGGATTGTTCAGCATCTCTTCAATTGCCACTTTCAAGTCTGCAGCCAATTTGTAAGACAGGTTAACCTGCAGAGTAAAGCCTCTAGCGACAGATTTCTTTACATTGATGAACTGATCTCCAAATACAGGTATGGCAATTGTAGGAACACCGAAATGGATCGTTTCTGTGGTAGAAAGTAACCCCCCGTGGGTTATAAACAGCAAGCATTTCGGGTGAGCTGTGAAATAAAAATTATAGTGATGATCAATAAATCAGTAAACTCAAAGAAAAGAAAATGAATACAGATACAAAAAATGAAAATAAAGATGAACAGTGTATACACAAGTAACATACATGGCATTACATTCACATCACATTATCAGCCTATAAGTGCTCACTGCTGAGCAATGGCCTCTTCTCACACGAAGAAGGTTTGAGCATTAATCACCACGACTGCGGATTGGCGACTTTAAATTTGTAATTAAAAATAAAACAGGTTTCCTCACGATGCTTGCCTTCACCGCTTGTCAGTGGTGTCTAAATAACTATAGAAACTACATAATTATAACTCGGAAAAAGTCACATTGATACTTGCCAAGTTTCGGACCTGCACCCTTATGCACGAAAAGCAGGCGCCTATCCCAATAGGCCTTCACGGCATATAACACTACCACGACATATAACACATATACATACCTAAAATGCTGGGCTGCGGCGCCCATTTCAAAATATGAACATTTTTCGGCACATTCGGCAATTCTTCTTCAAATTTCCAGAGCACAGTTTGTTTTACTTCTCCGAATAATTTAAGGAGATCACGTTTGATCTCTTCTGGCCAGTCCTTGCTCTTCAAGTTGGATCCCATGCTGAAGTATATGACCCCGTTTTTAGAGTTCATCATTATCTTTTCCAGATCCTGCAAGAAAAATAAAATAAAATTACTTAGCTTAACTGATTTCATTCTTTTTATTTTATCTGTATATATTACGATATGTCGTGGTAGCCCGGAGGTCAAGGCACCCGCTTCTCATGAATGAGGGTGCGGGTTTGAAACATAGCAAGTTGTGTCTTTTTCCAAGTTATATGTACTTTCTATGATTATTTTGACACCACTGACGTACTATAAAGAAAATATCGGGAGGAAACCTGGACTCATACATTTTTAACTAAAGGTTAATCACGAATCCGTGATTAACTTTTTGCCTTCAGCAATGATTAATACCCAAACCTTCTACTTGTGGGAAGAGGCCTTTGCTCAATAGTGAGCACTTGAAGGCTAATGATGATGATATATTACGAAAACATTTTTTGACTTATTAGGTACCTACCTCGGGTAATGGCTTAACTTCTTCTTCAATATGATAACCTCCAACGGACTTGTAATTCTGTGGTAGACTTAATGGCAATCCCATTGATACATATGAATTACCTAACACTAGAGATGCATTGTGTTTAACTTCACTGAGCGGTGGAGCTTGCCGACCTCTTTTTTGAACTTGAGGTCCAACGATTCTCTCGTAGTTTGCAGCATCCTTGGACTCATAATACCTAAAATGTAAATAAATTTGTTATGTATTTTTCTTAATTAAGTTTGCAAGAACCAACGTTTTTCTGTCTTTTTTACTACGATTCACATAATGGCATAATGAATCACGTATACTTACAAAAATTCTAAGATTGATTCTTGTATCCTCGTCCATATTTCTGCAGCTCTTTCCAAAAAGCTAAAGGGAGGTAGGTGTGATGACAAAGGATCAGTACTATAAGCAGGGTGCGGTAAAGCATCGACTAATCCAATAGACAATGAGTTAACTTCTACTGGGATCACCCAGATCAGAGGGCAGTTGAATATTGTAGCATAACTGAAACAATAACATATTCTAAATAGTAAATTTTACTTACATTTTGGACACTTAAAAACAAGTGAAATGGTCAATATTGCTCGAGCGATGATTATAGGGGATATTTTTTTGAAGTTAAGCAAAATATCTTCCAAATGCCCAATTCTTCCCCGCCCCCGATTCCTACCCAATCCCTAAAATTATGAAAACTTAACGTCTGGGGAATAGGCCTCTTAAAGTTAAGTTACGTCTCTAGTGTTACCTGGGTGGCCACGGGAGCGAATGTTTGCCATCATATTAATTAGTCAATTTGTTTGCTGCCCTTTCACAAGTATTTAGTTTGCACCAGTTATGACATTAAGTATGAAGTAATTCTATTTACTTGTGTCATTAAACATTGTCGTTATAATGTGTTACTCGATACTTATTACTTTTTACTTACCTTGCACTAAGGCTAGAGAACATCCACTCAACGATGACAACATCAAAATGCGCGTTAGTATCGTTTAGTAGTTTCTGTACATTTTCATGTTCCATCGTTTTCGATACCAAATTGAGCATCATCATCTTAACGAAAAATCGAGGGAAAGCCGGCATTGAACTTCCCAAAAACCTCTCTATGTTCATTTGGTCCACTGAAAATTCATAATATGAAATTATATATTGTATTGTACAGATCTTAACATATTTCTGTGCATGCACTGTGTCCTTGGACGAATCTTAATATCACACAGGGAATATCCCAAGTAGGAGATATTTTTTTTATTTTCCCTACACTAAGATTTTCTGACCATACCACCACCACTCAATACCACCACCATACAATTTCACACACACATCACACCCAGAACCTGAACAACAATTTGTTGATTACATAAAGAGTTGTGCCGTGCAGCGATCGAACCAGAGACACGTTTCGCGGCAACCAGTTTCCCAGACACCGCGCTAACCGTGCTGTCTGGTGTGAACGAGTTTTTAAGACTGATGAAATCATATGAATTTATGTGTGTACTGAAATCAATATATTACGTATACAATACTTCAATAGTAACAACTCACTTGGCAGTAGCTCGAAGTTACTGCTCACATCAATCTGATGGAGATTCGGTGGAGGGTCCTTGATTGGGATTGGGGTGATGAACGTTACCTGGATTTTTAAAACGTAACTTATGATTAAATATAACATAAATGTAGTAGAATTACTTATTTCTATGGCAAAGGATAAAGAACATTATTTATTTATTTATTTATTTATTTAAGACTTCATGCACAAAACATTGTACATAGGCGGACTTAATGCAATGAGCATTCTCTACCAGTCTACTTTTGGGTGATGCAGAGATAATCTAGTGGCAGGTGCAGAAGCAAGGAAATTCAGTTGAATATACCAAACATATATATAAAAATATACATACCACACTTTACATACATACATACTATATATATATACATTACAATACATATTTATAAGGCAGTAAATATATATATATATATATACATATATATACGTATATGCAGTCATAGTCCCGATGATTCCCCCAACCTCTTCAAAAGAAGCTCCCGAACTCTCTGCTTGAAAGACAGCCGACTAGTCAAGATCCTGATATCGCGGGGTAGCGCATTCCACAGAAGAATAGCCTTAACGAAAAATGAGGAATGGAGAAATTTTGAGTGATGAGTTGGACAGTTAAGGAGACGATTATTAGAAGAGCGAAGGTATTTATTGTGGTTTGCGCATGTGTATTGGAAGTAAGAGGACATATAGCTAGGTGGGCAAGAGTACATTATGATATTGGGAAATCTTTAAAATGGGAAGGTACTATAGTGGTTAGTACAATAGCACAACAGAAGAAAACAACAAAAAAATACCATCTAGGTAATAGTGAATGGTCATGAAGTATTTTTTTTTCGGCGGCAAACGTGCTGACTTATTATGTGGTGATACGCAATCTGACATGAACACCCATAACTCCACAGAAAGTGCGCTGCTGGCCTTATGGGGATTATGGGGTTTTGGGGATTTAAGGATTGAGGAGTGATGAGAAAGGTAAGGAATTGGGCCTCTGGTAACCTCAGTCATGGCGTACACACGTACTAATAATGCCGCGTTCGGCTCGCCCAGACTTTAGAAAATATAATACTTCAAATAGTATTTTTCCTACATATAAGAAGAGATAACTATACAAACAGAAGTTTGGGCTTATTACGCATTTTTGAACATTTAAAACCAGTCTTTAACTTACCTCATGTCCATCTTTTAAAAGATTTCTCACAACACCTCTGCCTAAATTTGAATGGCTCGTAGCTGGCATTCCAAATACTACCAGCGCTTTGTAGGCCTCACAAGACGAACTTAGAAGAAGGCCCAAGAAAAGGCATATTGCTAACGCCATTATCTGAAATCAAATTGTAATTATACTTTTGGGTTTGTTCGTTAAACATACTCGTTTACCGATTTAGTATTACGTTACTACTCTGAAAGCATTGTTGCTCATGAATATGAGCCCCTTGCGTAGCTTGATACTAGTCGAGTTATGTCCGTAAACAGTTACCTTAAGTAATTCAATAAAAATATAATGAATATAATATATTATGTTTCAGGAGATGTACTTTTATTATTTTATTATTTTAGTGTTAATGTAACTGGATCAAATCTGTGTTAACATACATTAAATAAATATATTAAATTAAATTATATTCTAGTAGGGCTTTGTGACTGAATAATTCAAAATTGTAAACCTATGTATGTTACACTTAAGTAAGACTATGTATTTTCTCTTGTTATGCAGCCACATTGATGCTACTCTTTTTCTGTTTGGACGGAATGACTATTCTTTTTACTGTTCTTATAAAAATATCAATGAAACAACGCAACAATGAAACAATGGATTTATTTTTGCAAATAGGCCATAAAACGGCACTTTTACACGTCAAATTATATGTAAAAAAACTAGATGAAGCCCGTATTTTATTATATCCCTTTCCTGAGCATCTGTTGCTTTTTAACTACTGATAAGATATTAATTCTATTTTAGGATAATTATCAAAATTCATTACAATACCGTCTTTGTATTGTCTGCTGTGGTACTTTATAAATAAGATTATTATTTCATAACATAGCAGATAATACGAAATTTGTTTATTTGGTTTTGTTTAGTATTTTTAAGTGAAAATTATAATCATTAATATATATTTAAAACGACCGTTCCATACTTACGTTGCGTAAGTAATACAAATACAGCACTAATATTTTTTTAATTCACATCACCAAGTTCAAGGTTATTCGTAACTAGTAATTGGCTATTAGATAATGCCTAAGTCATGAAGTCCGTCTATTCATTATGTATTTGAAAGCATAATTAAACAAATAATTAGACTTACTAATTCATATCATTCAAAAACAAAAATAAAATATTTTATTATTGATCCGTGATAAATTTCAAAACAAAACCTCTGCGTATCAAGAGGTAGACTCAACTGATATTGTTACGATTGATATTTATGTTTTACAATGTTTTTTTTTAAATCATAACCAGCCATGTTGGGTGTTTGTTTATCTACGTAATTTGTTTTTAAAATAAGTGCTGATTCATCGTGACTATACATCGTCTGATCCGGTATGACTGTTTAATATTGTAGTTTTTCCTTCCTATAGATGACATACATATATACACAAACATCCACTATATGGAGAGATTACCTCTTCTTTTGTGGGGGGTACAGCTTCTAATGCAAAGAGAGTGTTAAATGACCTCTTGCTCTCATCGAACAGGCCATTCAACACTCTGCCTTGCCTTTACTAATCTGGTTCACATTTGCTAAGTACTTATCTGGTTTTTTGGTTTTTTTTTAACTATAATACAATTCATTTTAGCATTTCTACTTACAAAATACATAGGTGTAATTATAAAATAAGTTATAAATTATATCATTAAACGACCACTATTCCCTAAAAGAAAAGAGATTTTTCCAGTTTAAAAAAAAACGTTTAATCTTAAATTTAATTTTCGAAAAGGAGGTCGACGGATGAATGTTTGACTTCAGCGTCGCCATTGTAAAAAAAAGAACAATTTTTGAATGCAAGCTGGTCGTGTGACTGACAGCTCTGGGCTTCACTATATAGGGTGACTAAAAATTTGCGCTGTATTGCCGGTAGATTTTATCACGAAAGTCATTTTATATGGAAATTTTGTCACTTTGGAGTAATTTAAGGAATAATGTAGGTAGGCACTTGAAATATTTTCATATACTTAATTATAATAAAAACTATTTACTTCTCTTCTAAGTAAAAGTACGTAATAATATCAAAATAATTAGTTGTGATGACCCCCTATAGGGTGACCACGAAAAAAGGGCTGCAAAGAAAATGGTGAGAGTGAACTTAACTTTTTTTGCGACATCCTTTTTAATTTCGTAATGTTTACATATTATATTTATTTATCTCATATTATATTTCCTACATTACTGTAATATATTTGAAGTTCACTCTTCCGCAGTAACCTGGAACTTACAGACACCCTACTTTTATTCAAATTGCATTCGAGCAAACTGCCAATATTCCGTCAATTTAAAAAAAAATACTAGCGTAATCGATAAAAATATTGCAGAAATATTTTTGTATATTTTTATTTATTTATTTTAAATAAACATCCTGGACAAATGGCATAAACGCTGATCAAATCGATTAGGATACATTCCAAAATTAACATTTTTTTACAACAAGTTTGAATACCCTTTTTGTGAGGGGAAAATCATCAAACTTACTCGGCCTTACTTGGCCGGGGCCGCGGTACCTCATTGCGCTTGCCTTATAACTCCGGCAAGCATATAGATTGATAGCATAAGCATATTGATTTATAATAAATAATGATAAAAAAAATATATTCATCATTATGTTCTTACCAGATTATATTCTCAGACTTTTTGCAATTGAACAAAACAACCCAGGAATCTTAGTTTAGTTGTCGAATCGAGACTGCCTTAATAAACTTAATAATGGTAATGGATACCTTGGTTAACTAATATAGTCATTCAAAAACGAACCGTATTTATATGAAAAATTTATCGCCGATATCCGAATCCAAGCGGTTCTTGATAAAATAAATCTTTTATCTTTAAAATATCATATTTTGGTTTTAGCTAAAAATTGTATTTCAGTTGCCTTTTTACGCTCCTACGTAGTACTGGTCTGGTAAATTAATTTAACTGCGTAATTTTATTTTTATATTTTCCAAACACGGGTACACTACTTTACTCTACCTTTTTTTATTTTATATCGTTTTTTTTTTGTGCACAAATTAAGTTTGATATGTGTGAAACGTGTGTTTGTATACATGCATACATTTTCTGCATCATTTTCTTTTATGGCAATTTTAAATTTAAAAAAAAATTATTATAATACTTATTAGGTATAATAACACCGTAATTCGATCAGCTAGCTGACGCACATCTATAAATTTCTGTTCCGGGTCAGTGCTTACAGTGTTTATGGAGATAAATAAATATTGCAGCCTCACAGAAAACCTGCTTTTACAACTCCTGCGTAGTGTGATGGGAGGCTCAATTCTTACCCTTCCCTATATCCAAAAATCACCAATCTTGAACTTTTTTCATCCCTTTAAGGCAACACACATTTTACTGTAAGTTTTCTCGTGTACATAAATGACGACGAACCGATGACCGTTGTAGGAGACATGATCTAGAGTGGTGTTCACCTCGAGCTCAGTAGCGTGCAATCGGGGAGGCCTGTGACCAGCAGTGGACAAAACCAGGCTGATGATGATGAGGGTGATATCATCATAATCAAAATCACTCAATGACTTTTCTTGCTCTGGGTGGGGGAGTATCAGACTTTTACTGAAAACTACCCCATTCTTTCTCCTGCTCCGTAAGTGGGAACAAAAAAGAGCTTGCACTCGACAGCAACACTGGACAGTGATCGAAGGTCAGTCTTCACACATATCACGAAGCTACCATGATTACTAAAGTTTGACCTGTGCCGCCTTTAAACAAATCTTTTAATTTTTGACTAGTTTATTGATTGACTGGAGTAGTCGCATAAAAAAACCGCAAAGAAAAGGTTGTAGACCTAGCAAAGAATTGTCTTGCTATAAGCCAGCCTGGAAATTTGTAAATTATTGATGACATTCATTGTTAACTACGAAGACATGATGTATACATGACATATGCCCTGCTAAGGCTGAGCACCGCCGTGTCTTCAGGGAAACGTTCGGCGGCGGCGACCTTTCGTGCCCGCCCTTAGTCGAATCCATGGTGCAGCACGAGAGGAACTGAGAAGCCGTCTCCTCTTTCTGCGAAGCAGTGATGCTCGCAAAGAAAGAGCGCCTGAGCTATTCTCCTCCTCACGCCCCAGCCGCCGCAGTAGGCAACTCTCCGAACGTCAGGTCTGTGGACGGCGAATAAGGGTAGCTTGTCGCTACTAGAACCTGACCCGAACAAACGGTGCGTTGCGTACGCGGGTGCCTTAAACAGCCTATAGACTACTGCGGGGCAAACGCAATGAAGCACCGTGGCCTTAGCCTACAGCAGGCGAAGGAATGGGGGATTTTTAGTCAGTAAGAGTCTGACATTCCCTCCCAACCGACCCTGGGCGGGAGAAGTCATTTGTTGATATTCCCCTCACCTAAAAAGCCATTGCAAATTTTATGTGCTGTATTTCTCCCTGCTAAGTACGTGACATTATGTACACTAGCCCAACTACACAGGGTCATGAAATAACACTTACGTTGTTTCGTCGTGTAAGGAAATTACTGGAGACTAAACCTCCCTCATGCCCCATCCCGAAACAAAGTATAACTTACCAGCAAAATATGTGCTATAAATATTCTGAGCATATAATCAGGTTCAAGATTAAATGGACAGGGTACACAAGATAACGGTCATAATTTTGTATAAATTCAGTATATAATGAATTAAGGAAACTCAATTTAATTCTTAAAATAACAATTTATTTAAATACACAAATAATTCTTAATTAATTATTTTTCTTTCTCCCTCCCGCACTACATTCCTTTTTTGAACACCCTGCTGCACAAATTTTCTTTAAAAGTACTCGTCCAGCTAGGAATAATAGTACTAGGACTACAGCAAGATCCAGGTACATCTTCTGGTAGAAAGGCACGTGGTGGGCAGGGGAGTGCAGGTGTGGCGCGCCGCGTGTCTTGATCACGTGGTTCACCCAGTGCACCAGCTCAACTCCTGGCTTCACCGGCCGGTCGTGGTGGATGTACGACAACTCCTTCGCTTTTTCTGCAAACCTGATAATAAAATACTTGTTAACATTTATATTGTTTTTGTATTAAAACTTAAAGAACTAACCAACTTTATTGTAGCTGGTTTTGTTATATTTATTAATTTTGTTAAAACATTAAGAAAAATAAATTGCTTCATTACTTAAAATTTCTTTTTTTACACAGTTACCTGTAATATGGCTACTCTTACCCTATGGTACACCACTATTACACTTTTTTTATATAGGACCACTCTCATTCATCACTCTACAGCTATTTTTGGCCAAAAGACCCCCTTCCAGGAAGAAGGTAACAAAAAGTAAAAGAAAGATTTTAAGTGTTGCAGATCAACACTGCCACACGAATGGGCTGGCTCGACCGGATTGATAAATCACAGCGTTGCCGCACAGTTCGAGTGATATTCCTGGATGCCTATTTTCTTCCCTCCCCCATCCTTCAATCCCCAAAACCCTTAATACGGCCCAATTGGCTAGCAATGCAATTGCCTAAGGTGTTCAGGTGTGCAGGGGCGGCGCCGATTGCTTACCATCAGGTTATCCGTGCGTTTACCACCATATCACGTAAAAAAGTGTTAAGACATTTATAGTTATCAAATAATATTTTCTTTCTTACATCTCCATGAGAATACAAACCTGGGGTTAGAAGTAACTTCATTTATCGCATCCTTAAGTTCTGCAGCCAAAGAATACGAAAGGTCTACTCGTAACGCGAATCCTCTATTTACTGATTTGGCGACATTCATGAACTGATCAGCAAAAACTGGAATACCAATTATCGGTACTCCGAAGTGAACAGCTTCTGTCGTCGAGAGAAGACCACCGTGTGTAACGAAGACCGCCAGATTGGGGTGAGCTGCAAAAATAGACAACTTAATTAATAAACATAATGCAATAAAAAATGCTCGGTTATAAGATAGAAAAGTTTTATTAAGAACCGCTGCTGACTGTGATTTTTTCCGCAGCCTTTTGCCTTTTTGTCACTAAGTTGATCGCAATGAAGATGTTGAAAGGCACAAGCTCTTTGCAGTGACGTGAAAAACGGTGACAAATATTATAACTTATCTGTCAGCCGACCTGTACTTTACTGGGAATCTGTACACTAGTGTCTTATTTGTGTTTTCTGCTCAGCTTTTATATCATTTCATATAAATTCGAACACTTTTAGTAAGCGCACCGTAAGATACAGTATGCTAGGTAACAAAAGTCACCGTCATTAAAAACCGCGATCAGGTGCGGGTCTAATGTGATTTTGAATTAGAAAACGACTTACTGCCATTTCGACATGAAATTCCACATGGTTACCCTTTGCTTAAGAAGAGACAACAGACTGTATGACCTTTACTGACTTAATATTAGTCTATAAAACTACGCCCAGACTTTAAGATAGATATCAATAAAACAAAACTTACAAAGAATTGCTGGTTGAGGTGCCCATTGCAGAATATGTACATTCGAAGGAAGTTTCTCTGGTTTCTCTTCAAATTTCCACAGCACAGTCTGCTTCAGAGTACCAAACATCTTCAGGAGATCCCGTTTTATCTCTTCGGGCATATCTTTGCTTTTCAGATTGGAGCCCATACTAAAGTAAACTACTCCATTCTTTGCATTGTCCATAATTTTCTTTAAGTCCTGTTTTTGATAAAGCATATGAGTTTCAATCAATATACATTGCTTAGTTATTAAATAATAAGCCTTCATTTACCGACAGAAAATAATTGACAGTAAATCCTTTACGTAGGTCACCAATGACCTACGTGGCGGTTATCGTGTTAATTAAGGTCATCTAACTAATATTAAAAAAAGAGGTAAAATTTTGCAAGTTTGTTATTTAGGGGGTAATGTTTGGAATCGCTATTCGGATTTTCAAAATTCTTTCACAGATAGATAGCTACAATGTTCCTGAGTGCTATAGGCTATATCAAACTTTAAGGGCTGCTGCTTTTAAATTTTCAGGATCCATTACTTTTATACGCGTGCGGAACCGCTCAGTTCTCCTTAATTCATAATCCATCTGATTATATCTTAGTAATCTATAATATAAGATTTTGCTTCTATCAAAAACTACTACTACCACTTCACTATCAGAAACTATTCTTACCTCAGGCAAAGCTGTTCCTTTATCTTCAATGTGGTAGCCTCCAATAAACTTATGGCTCTGAGGCAGGGACTGAGCAACAGATGTAGATACGTATGCATTAGACAATATCATTGATGCGTTATGGCGAACTTCGTCGAAAGATGGCGGCTGCCTGCCTCGCTTTGCAATAAATGGAGCTAGTAGCTGATTGTATGCTTTCTCTTGTACGCCGTCCAACCATCTGTGGATAGCAAGTAATTGTATTTTAGGTGTTTTTATAATCTCTTATTGAACTTGCAATAAACAGCTATACATATAAAAATCAATGCCACTTCGTTGTATTATTATATCTCCAATGCCTTTACCGATTTGGCTAATTTTGGTCTTGAGTTCTTCGTGGAGGTGCAGAAAAGGTTTGTACGTAAAAAAAATTTCAAAAAATCTTGAAAAAATGTAAAATTGATGGCCGTGGGCGACCGCTAGTATGTTCATAAATATGTTAATTAATCAACAAATATGTTTGTAAAGTGGGATATTGGAATTCAATTTTGAAGCAGATAACTAGTCTTCAACAGTTTTAGCTGAAACGTCGTATATACGTTTCATTTGCACCATAAACACCAAAATTTTTGAATTAACTTTGCTCCAAATGCATTGTAAAATGTTGATTTTAAAAAGATTTTTAAAATATTTTTTTTTACTTTTTGTCTTTCTAAATTTAGACTTTACCCTCTTTCTCGTTTTTATCAAAACTAACATTGTTTAAAAAATTAACAAACCTAGCAAATTGACTATATCTACTGGAACTTACGGATTTTTAACAAACAAACAAAAAAAACAATTTTTCTTTTACTGCAAGTAGATGTATCGCTGGAAATTCGCCACAAGCTTAATAAAATCTAACTCAAAGAATAATACTGTCATTATTCATTTCTCTAACACATTTGTTATTGTTGTTCTTTTTCATTAGCACTTATTCTATAAACAACTGCAATACTTACACAAAGTTCAAGAATTTGACTTTCAATTGGGTCCAGAGCTCGTTAACTCTTTGGAAGAAGTTCAATGGTGGAGTGTAAATTGACATGATGTCCACAGTGTAAGCAGGGTTTGTTGGCTGATCAATTAGTTGAAGAATCATCCAGTGCGGTTCTACTGATGATAACCAGATGAGTGGGCAGTTGTATATTGCAGCAAATCTGAAATTATTGAACTAATGTAATAAGGAGAATAACTTTTTTTTGTATTGTGGAATAAATTTACTTCATTTTTTATTTCGTTTATAGTTATCAGATAATTCCTATACAGGCAAATGAAAAACTGTCTAATTATGAATCGAGTAATTTAAGTAAGTTTATTTATTTATTTAGTACAAAAAATCTTCCTACACTCTCGTTACAGGTTATGTTCCCAATACGACAGAGGCAGACGTGAGGCTTAACCTAGTATAAAATGAACTTAAAGTACTAAAAAGAAATTATACAAAAAGAAAGAATTATACAAGAAGAAAGGTCTTCGAATATTGATAATGAATTTGTATGCATGCGTATATACAATGTAAGGTAAGGTAAGGTATATTTGGTATTCTTATCTCTTTTAATTTTTTTCTATTTACTTTTTAAACTTAAGCCCTATTTACAGGACACAAGCATATAATCAATTGAAGCAATCATTGACTTGCATAGTCTAAACATTATGAAATAATAATAGGAGAATAGTAAATGAGCCTTAAATTTATTGTTCCTATTTGTTTAAGAAAATTGTAGTGTGCAAATCAGAATTTAAACTATGATGATTTTCATACTTTGTGGTCATCCTAATTGTGCAAAGTATGTTAGGTTTAAGAGGTTTAAGGTGGTGGTGGCCTGTGGTAACCTTAATCATACCGAAATGCAACATGAATGTTGTTTCACGTCGCTATTCTGTTAATAAAGTGCTATGCAAAGTGGAATTCCATCTATATGTTATGGAGCTATTAACACACTATGAACACTTACCCCGAAGGCACATCGCTAAACATCCACTCAGCTACCACAAGATCAAACTCTTCTTTAGGGTCACTGAGTAGCTTCTGAACTGATTCAGTTTCCACCGTTTTCTTCAGCATCTCCGTCATCATGTATACTAGCAAGCCAACGTTCTCAATGTTAATAGTTCTGTCCATGATATTCTTTATTGTCATATCAACTGTAAAAAGGAAGAAGAATTATATAGTTTTCTATTCTGCTGAGTGGTTTAGTCTTTTGAAAAAAACAAAAAATTAAACAAAGAAGATTTTTGTGTATATTAATATTTGTGGTGCAGTCGTGGTGGTCCGTCGATTAAGACGCCCGTTTCTCATTAATGAAGGTGTAAAACCTGGCAAGTACTAAGGCCACTTCTTTCGATATTATATAAATATGCGAATATGTAACTTTCAAAAATCTCACAACTCTGTCAAAACTGTGTTTCGTCGTGTGGGTTAGGCAACCAGAGCCCAATCCTTTTCCTCCCCCGGTAGACTCCGTTGTTGCATTGTCGGCGCCGATTGCTTACCATCAGGTAATTCGCGTGCTCGTTTAACATCCAGTCATACAAAAAACTACATGAAGCAGATATTTAATAGTCACCTTCTGTACGTGACAAGAGGCTCTTGCTCAGCAGTGGGCATTAATAGGCTGATGATGAGAGAGAGATGGTAAAATTAAGATAATAGTATTGTTTTGTAAAAGATAATCAAAATTCAGTACTAATTCATAAATACTTCAATATTGGCTTGAACTTACTGGGCATAATATCAAACGTGGCACTGACATCTATTGACCGAAGGTTTGGTGGAGGATTCTTATAAACGAAGGGTGTGATGTAGGTGACCTGGAAGAAAAAATAATGTACAAATCAAGAACTAAGTGTGGAAGTAACTGTGGGAAAGCCAAGCTTTGATAAGAATGGGTCGGCTCGACCGGAGTGATACCGCGGCCGGTTTTCTGTGAGCGATGTGAAACAATGACAACTTTGTGTTTTGCTGTGAGAGGTTACCGGATGCCCAATCCCTTCCCCTCCCCCATCCCTTCCCAATCCTTTATATATCCGAATCCTCATCGGTGTTGCGTTGACAGCCAGCATGGACACCCGTCCACGGGTGGCGCACTTTGTTTACCATCGGGTAATACGTCTGCCGACTTATCCTATATATATAAAAACTTTATTTTTAAAAGTTTTCTAATTTCTAAATGGGCAAAAATACAAGTCCACGTCATCAACCTAACAGTACAGCAAAGGAGAAGGTACACTTAAAAAAATTGCGAACTTATCATCATCTTCGAATTTTAACGTCACACTTTGAGCCATGTGCCTCCAAGACTTCCATCTAGGTCAAATGTTAAACTTCAGAGCTCAAACTGAGACAAACTTCAGAACGTGACATCATGCCTTAGCCATTACTCTTCGGAACTAATTAGACATTGTTAAGACAGTGATTTTTTTAGACTCGTAAAAAGGATCTGAAATTGCTCCTGTGTTCTTCTGTGTCAATTTTATATATATTGGTATTAGGTTGTAATTTGAAGGGAATTATTTCGATATAACAATGGAGCAGCTTCCTAGGTTTAATAAAAAATAATATTTTACTTATTTAAAATATCATACTTTAATTGATTAATTTGACGATTTGTAATAAGAATAGGTATGCTTTTGGTTGCGCATGTGTGTGTTATTAAATGCCAAAAACGCATTCAATAAAGTATTGAATATCTCTCGTCTAGGAAACTACCGTATTTTAAATCAATAAAAAAAAGTAGAAGTAAACCAACTTTACAAAAGTCATATTCTCCAAGTAGTTCCAGAAATATATGTAATAATCTCGATTTATAATTGTATTTGTGTATAACATAGCAACATCAACTCTGTGTGGTAAAATTTATCTTTGCTGTCATCAAAGCACAATAAAAAGATTAATAATAATCATTATTTGTAAATCAAGGTTTTGAGATAAAACATAATTATGAGATCATTTAATTATCTACAATATTACTTAAGTACCTAATTGTATTATTTCTATAATACTTGCGTTTTTTGCTAACTTTTGTAAGCCCGCGTTATAATATTTGTACGCGTAAAAAATCATAAGTGTTATAATATTTGCTAAAATATTCCGAGGCATCCTTTCCGTTAGGAAATAGACAGGTAGATGGATATTCCAGACTATATATCCACATTTTTGCACACTTTTTTCCCTTATTGTAATAGGAACACTTATAAAAGACTGCAAGGTTGGTACGGTAGCTGGGCAACTGGCTGACTGCGATTCCCACACGGAACAACTTTTTGTATGATCCACAAATTGTTGTTCCGGATCTGGGTGTCATGTATATAATGGGTATTGAATGTATACATATAACCGCACCTACGACACAGGAAAAAAATACAAGTGCAGGGCAACTTTTAAAAAAAAGAACTCAAAGAACAACAATATGAAAGAAGAGTGACTATAATAACTGGTATACCGTCTCTAGATGCAATGAAACCATGTATTGATCTCCATTAACATAAATAAAAAAAGAACATACCTCGTGTCCAGCATTCAGCAGATGCCTAACAACACCATCTCCAAGGTTTCCATGACTTCTGGAAGGCATCGGGAACACGACCAGGATCTTGGCGGCATCACCACAAGTCAGTATGATGCTGATCAGAAAACAAAACACCTTCGCTCGCTCCATGATGTCTGCACAGTAATTAAAACAAAATTATTGCTGACATACATTTATACAAGTTAAATTGTTTTATCAGTGCTGCTCAACCTACGCGTTGTATTAATTATACCTTGATAAACAGATGAAGATTTTGATACATAGAACAATAAAGATGTGTATTAAAGATTAAAGACGTTTTGTAGATAACTGGCTTTTGCCCGCGACTCTGTTCGCGTGGAATAGTTGGGATTTTTGGGTATAAAACTCCTATGTCCTTTCTCGAGTAGCTTAGGCGTGAAGAAAAGAAGACAGACAAACAAACAAACAAACAGACAGACAAGTTGGATGTTTCCATTTGGATTGAGCTAATCTTATTATGGTGTTATTTTTAACGGGGTGATTTGAAGTGGGGTTGCCGTTTAGACGAACGGACGAATACGAAGGATTAACTATTATATTGTATAGCACTTTCGAATAACAAGTAAAAATAACCAGTATCTGATAGGGATACCTATTGACATTTTTTAAGAGATTTTCGAATGAGATTGTTAACAAACATATACATGAATTACATCCTTATAAATAAATATTCAATGCTAAATGTCTTGCGAAGTAAAAAACAAGAGAATAGCTAAACCAATTTCGCTAATTCGTCTTTTTCAAATATTCATTGGTTTTCCGATGGACGGCCTAATAACAAACTTTTCATATTAGATAAAAGCGGTAGTAGATGCGGAAATATACTAGTAAGAACAAATTCGATAACAAAACTATTTACTTCGTGAATAAATAAATAAATTGAATGATTAATTCGATGAAAGTCAATCGACATCAGGCCTCATTTATCGAAGTTCGGCGCGTCGTGTGCTCCGTCGTACATTGCTCGTAATGTATGTGTTTGTAAGGGAGATTACAAGGCTCGAAGCTGCAATGAATGACTAACGCTTACGCACCGTGTCTCCGTAAACGAAACTGTCACTTTTGACTTCCACGTTATGACTTATGACTTATGACTCTCATCCTACAAATGTGAAAGTATTTGATAATGTATAGGTGTATGTTTGTTATTCGTTAACGCCAAAACGGCTGCACTGATTTGGTTGAAATGGAATGTATATAGATAGGTGGATTAACATATAGGCTTTTTATCAACATCCCACGCGAACGAAACCGTGTGCTGAAGATATGTTTAATGAAACTTAATAAGTTAATGCAAGGTTATCTCTTCCAAAATAAACTCATTTGTAAATATTGACATTAAAATGAATACCATATATTATTTTGATATGCTGGCTTTTTGAGATAAACTTTTACATGGACAGACACTGTTATTTTTTTAAAGGGACTAAATTACGAAATTCAAGAGAAAATAGATACAGTTTGTGATTTTTTCATGTTTTATCTATGTAGCCCAGATGACATTTATTCAATTCGGTTTTTGACTACCAGTTATCTGCGTTCTGACAGTTTGAGTACTTGCGCGACCCACCCAAATGTTCTTTAGATCGGTATTGTTCGTCGGACAACTCAGCAGCTCTTGCTATACCTACTGGTTGCAAACTGACACTTGCGTGCCTGTCTTCAAAACGGGTCCACTTAAAATGGTGTGGTTCTTTCATCAAAAGACCACTACAGAATGAACTTGCACGGTTCTCTCACATTATGTTATTTTTACATTGTCTGGACTTGAAAAGAGACTGACCTCTGAGTTTGTTTCGGCATTTCTTCTCAGAGTAGTCAGATAGGAAATGCCGGCTTCATCTAGTTTTTCACATATAAATTGACGTGTAAAAGTGCCGTTTTTATGGCCTATTTGCAAAAATAAATTTCATTGTTTCAATACGATTTTCATGTACCCATAGTTAGTTTTATTGCAATTATTGTTTTGTGTTTATTTAATAAATATTATAAAAATTTTAAATAAATTTCTTAAAAATAATTATTTAATTAAATTCGAGGAATTTGGAAATAAGGTTGAGAATCGCTTTACATCATTTTTTTTAATGCTATTCTGAATGTTTATAAGTATTATACTTCTCATTGTGTGAATTTTTTGATGATTTATTCAATTGTTTTAAATTGTACTCGTAGCCATTAAATAAACTGCCTTTAGTTTCTTTGACAAATTAATTTGATTTAATGCCAAAGGATTTTCCATTTATTTATTTCTTTTTAGTTTTTTTAACCCCGTATTTTTCCAAAATTACCTACTATTAACAATTTTGTTCCTGATCAATTATGGAATGTCACTTATAAAAGAGGTTCATTGTGTATAAACATGTCATGAATTTAAACTGGGAAAAATCAAATACTTAAAATATATTAAATATATAATAAAAAGTAGAAATAAAACAGTGGAATATAAAATATTAAAATTAAATTTAAAATATAAAAAGGGTCGAAATAATTTATTTTACACTGTATAAGTGTATACCTCTAATCACGGGACTTACAATTGTTTTTACGAGACATTTCTTTTTTTATCTTTATTAAAGTTTCAAACAATTTCACTCACATATTTGACTGATTTGACTTTATTAAGTAATAGTATTAATATCCTACCTAAACCTACATAGCATTGAAATTATAGACTCTTCTATCGTTTTCCTTCCATCACAATATCCGAAATAATTCGACCTCGAACTCGGAAACAATTGATGAATATAAGGTATTTGATATCCAAATACCTTGTTTACTCACTAAGCACAATAAAAATAAGAAACAACTCAACACGAATTTAAACACACACATACACACAAAACATTCAAATAAAAGACACACTATCACATAAGAACACAGAATATGCAACTTATAAAAATTTTAAATTTAAATAATTTTACTCACTTTTTTATTTATAAAACTTATAAATAATATTTAAAATAAATTTAAAAAAAGAACTAAAAGAAGTCCGGCAGGCGTTATCGGAATGAATGAGAACCTTTGTCGTTGAGTGAGTTATATACTTAGATATAATAATATAATCTGTATTATATAATTTGTTAACAAAAGATAAAACAAAGGCACAGGGGATAACATTGCAATTCTATCATGTAACTTAATACAAGAATTGCGTAATACACAGTTTACGAACCAGGTGTTTAATCTGTAATATTATAGTCCTTTTTTGCAAAAGACAGGGAGTATCATGCAGAACTTTAGTGACTAAAAACGACTTGCCCTGCAACCCCAACTGACCATCGGCTCTGTCGGGTCACATCGGGCTCATCTGTGGTGGTCTGCTGGCCCTTTGAGGCTACAAATAGGAACTTGAGTGTATCTCATCTGTAACTTTTTTCGCTCCATGTGGGTCAGAGGGCCTGTCCAAGGAGTTTTACTGTCTAAAAACCACCCCTTTCTTCTCCTGCTCCATGCTGAGGCAGCGGTACCTTATTGCGATTGCGGGTAACGCTGGCTGAAGATCAGCTCTGACGTGCCCCATCTGTGGTGTTTTATTGGCTCTTTGAGGTGCATGCCGTAAGCTACGCGCCATACATTCGGGACTGGTTCTGGTCAAACGGGGAGCTACCATTACGTAGTGATTTAATGACTAAGTTCTTTTTCTAATATATAAATAATATTTATTACTAATATATACTAATATTTATTAATACATCTGCATCCACTAACGCGGACATTACAAGTTTGAACTTTATGTGTTGGAGAAAAAGTAAACGATCGGTGCAAGTAGTAGGCCGTTAATTTTATTGATAAAAAATGAAAATATACCGTCATAAATATTGAGGTTAAGACGCCCCGCTTCTCGTGCATGAGGGTAAGAGTTCGAAACTATGTTACTTTTTCCGAGTTATATGTACTTTCCATGAACGTTCAGAAACACCACTGATATGCGATGAAGGAAAAAATCACGAGGAATCCTGAAATTATAATTTCTATAAATTCAGTACAAGTTTGAAATCGTCAACCCGCCTTGAGCAAGCGTGGTGATTACTGCTCAAAGCGAATTATTGAAAAACCAACCGGTACCTTTTCTTGCCGCGGGACGTGGTCGCGGTATATTATTACGCTTGTCCCGCAACCAGAACCACTGGAAATTTCCTGAAAATCGGACCAAATGGTTATAAAATACCTACTAATTTGCATAGATGACAGAAACAACAGAAACCCGCAACCCTGGGTGAAGCACAATCTGTGAACGAAATTTTGAAATCGATCTGTAGTTCAAAGTGAGTTGCGGGGTAAGCGCAATGTGGCACCGCGGCCTTCGCCTAAAACAGAAGAAGGAACGGGAGTAATTTAATCAGTAAGAGTCCATAATATTTTTTCTCGCCTTACCCTTGACGGGAATAGTCATTTGATGATTTTCCCCTGATAAAAAAAATACAAGGGCCTCTTTCCTTGATAACATCCTAGTTCTAAGCATACCGTAACTAGCTACCACTAGTATAATAAAATTACACGAACTTGGAGCACAGAACCATAAAATAACAATCATTTATCTTATCTAAAGACACTTATAATCACTAATTAAATTATCTAGATCTAAGCCTTATGCAATATGGGCAAACAGTTTAGTCAGATTACGGTCCTTCAATAATAATTAAAATATCAATAGCGATTGGTATTTCGTCACATAAACAATTCGTCGCATAAAATAATTATGATTGAATTTTTGTTTCGCCGAGTAAGTGAGGTTACTGGGTCCTCAAATTCCTCTCCAATCTCTAAACTCTCCAATACTCTTCTCCCCAAAAGACAACAACGCACTCGTAACGTTTCTTGTGTTTAATTATGGTGTCCATGGACGGGAATCTATGGTCATACGTCACCATCAAATAAAAAAAACATACATTAACAATAGTTAATGCCAGACTAAAAAACCCTTTTCTTACACATAAAAAGATGAGAATTAATTGCTACACTAGCTTAAGGTGGATTGGCGATTTTAAACTTACTATATATTTTATATAGAAATTTATAACTCCAGTATCCCTCACGATGTTACCTTTTATCGTATATCTAAATAAATTTGAAAAGTGCATATATCTCGGAAAAGACTGACAGACTCGGAACAACAATTTGTGGACCACACAAAGAGTTGTTCCTTGCGGGAATTGAACCCTCGACACGTTGCGTGTCAGCCAGTTGCCCAGCCACTGCGCCAACCGTGTAGTCAAATTCTCTATAATCCGAATTTCAAAAGGGTTAAACCACAATATTTTGTTATGTTCTTCATAGTTGACCAACGCCTGAATTTCGTTTGCGAGAAAAAATATACCTAAACATATCGACGTATTGCTTATTTATTTTTACAGGCGTTTCTAACGACGACAATAAATAAATTGTAAATTGGAGTATTATACTAATCATTTTAGATTATGATAACCGGTTGAGCTACACGTGGCAGGTTCGATTTCCGTACAAAAAAACTACATACGCATCAAATAAAATGTTAAAGTACACTTTTTTATTTGTAACTAGCTTTTGTCCGCTACTTCGTTCGCGTGGCATTGTGACTTAATGCAGATTTTTGGTATAAAAACTATCCTGTGTCCTTTTTCGTGTTCTAAGCCATGTCTGTACCAAATTTCACAGAAATCGGTTCAGTAGTTTAGGCGTGAAGAAAAGACAGACAGATAGACAGGATTACTTTGGAATTTATAATATAAGTTTGGACCAAGAAAATAGTATATATTTATATATAAAGATAAAACCTAAATGTAGGTTCACAAAATTTTAGTAATATTCACCTGGGAATCCTGCATCCCACACGGAACGATATTTTATCGGAAATTGACAGTAACGACAAATTGTAAGGGGTACGAACCATTTATCATTTTGGGTCCCAAATAACAACTGAACTAGACAACATTTTAAAGATAATTTACAATACTATAATAGGAACGTAGCATCAACCATGTTGATCGAGAGATCATCTTCGGCCACCGTAAGCGCGGGTCTGCGGACGGTGAGTAAGGGTAGCTCGTCGCCCGACCAGAATCAGACCCCAGCGTACGGCGCGTAGAGTTCCGCGCGTGCCTCGAATAGCCAGTAGACCACCACAGACGGGGCCCTATAGGCCTGATGTTCAGCCGGTTGCGGATTAAGCGCAATGAGTCGCCGCGGCCTCGGCCCAGAGCAGGAGAAGGAACCGGGAGTTTTTAAGTCTGTAAGAGTTTGACACTCTCTCTCGTCTTACCCTGGGCGGGAGAAGTCATTTGATGATTTTCCCCTGACAAAAAAAAAAGCATCAACCATGTCGCTTTATAAAGGCCGTATAGATTTTATTACTTTACTATTAGATCGTACAAACGTCGTGATTTCCCCGGAGGCTAAGCCTCCATAAGCAATTCATGTACGAGGGTGCGGGTCCAAAACCTGGAAAGTACCAATATGACTTTTTCCGAGTTACATGATGTGACTTTTTAAGATACCACTGATACACCTAATAACCCACAATAGACCGCAACGCACTTGTAGTAACTCCTTTGATACTATGAGTGTCCATGGACGGCGCTGACTGCTTACAATCAGGTAATCCGTCTGCTCGTTTGCCGTCCTGACGTAAAAAAATACATGGTAAAGAAAAACATTGTGATGAAACCTGGACTACATTTTTATTATAAGTTTGAATTCGCCAATTCGCTTTAAGCAAACGTGGTGATAAAAGATTGTACGAATAGTGACAGTAGGTACACTGCTCCATTAATAGAATGGAATAGTCACCAGTGTGACTGCCGAGCGAATCTGATTTCCAGGTCAGATAAAGTATTATCGGGCTTCAAAAAAATAACAAAAACACTAGAAAACTCTTCAAATCATCTTTAATGTATCACAATTAAAACTTAGTCTTTTGTCTTGTAATATTTCACAAAGGTATCACGAAGCGAAGTAATGTGGTTTAGACGGCAACGATGGGAGCTGAAGCTGCTACGTAGGGAGAAGCCACGTAGGGAGCAGCAACGTAGGGAGCAGCAGCAGAAGCAACGTAGGCGGCAGGAGAAGCGACGTAGGCGGCAGGAGAAGCAACGTAGGCGGCAGGAGAAGCGACGTAGGCGGCAGGAGAAGCAACGTAGGCAGCTAGTCCATTGTTGATGCGGTGGTAATACTGCGAGCTAGTTGCCGTGACGACCGCAGCTGGGGCTGCAGCCACTAAAGGTGCGCTCACCAAGGCAGGCTTGGCAGCAGTGATGGCGACGAGTGCGGCGAGGACAACAATCTATACAAAAAAGAAAACATGATTAAAATCTATACTAATATTAAAAAGGTAAAATTTGTAAGTTTGTATGCAGGGTGTAATCTTTGAAACCACTGGTCGGATTTGCAAAATTATTTCATTGATCAATAATTACATTGTCGTGAGCGCTATAAAACAAGTACCTAATAGGCTACAAGACATCATGCTACTATCAAAGGGAGCTGAGCAATGGGTGAAACGGCGCTAAAGTTGCTAGTTATTATTAATGAAAAAAAGAAAATTGAAAGTCTTAATAAAAAAATTGTAGTAACAACAATACAAGATGTACTTTTCCTTGTAACCTTGGATTCAGTAGCCAACAATTTGACTTTGCCAAGTTAGCCACTGCCAAAAAAGTAATGATTATCGCAAACTCCTCTTTTGCAAAGAAGGCCAATCTAGAAATCGAGTGACGTCATATTTGACGATGATTATTTCACTTCATATTTTAAGGTGTATTATTGAAGCTACCTATTAAGAACAGCAAGACTGCCTTTCATCAAAAAAAGATGAGAATGAAAATATTACATATTTTCGCCCTGAATTAAAACCATTGCCTTACACTAGATTTCATCAAGCAACTCAATCGAATACTTACAAGTTTCATCATCTTGTTCGTTGGATTGTTTTCTCGTACTGTTAAAACAGGACTCGTATCTTTTACCCATCTACCAAAGCGTTTTATACTTCACAGAAGTCAATGGTGTTGCAACCAACTATCCTTAGCAACGTATCTGGCATTGATCGACACGTGATCAGTTAACCAAAAACCTTTAGGATTCATTAGAATTCACGAGAGCGCCCATAATTTATTGCGTTTAACATGCACTTGGAAAATATTGCCTCGTCTTTTACAAGTGCGTTGCAAGCGTAATGACGAGCAAAAGAATTTAGTTCGTTTTGGGGGTATTTTAGTAGTAAATTTAGTTGTAGTATAATCTGCAGATTTCATTTAATTGTGTAAAATAATCCAACCTATACTAATATTATAAAGAGGTAAAATTTGTAAGTTTGTATGTAGGGATTAATCTTTGGAACCACTGGTCGGATTCCCAAAATTCTTTCACTTATTGATAGAGAGAGATACAATGTTCCCGAGTGCTATAGGATATAAAACATCACGCTACAATCAAATGGAGCCGAGCAGCGAGTAAACCGCGCGGGAGTATCTAGTTTTTAAGTTTGCCGTTTGCAGTGTGGTGCGTTTTAAAACAAACAAATTCACATACTCATTATACCTTGAAACAAAATAACAATTTCCGAAGGTAGAGTTCCATAGGGCGTTCGAACCAAAAAAAAAATTCATATGACTTGCTCGCAGGAAACATTTTAAATAGGTGCCAGTTTTCTTCTTCTGCCTTTCACAACAAAATTGGAGTAATTTGAAGTATTTTTCAGCAGTTGCACATACCACAACCCATTGAAAGCTTAAGCTGATATTATTTAAAAAGAAAATAATCTATTTGTTTACCATCGCTTACCTTGGAACTTGTAGTCTTCCGACCACTATCACTAGTTCCCAGTAAATTATGCCACCCATAACTGTCATGTTCTGCATCAACATCATCAACATCAGCTTAATTCCATACACCACTGGACAGAGGCCTCCCCACACGCCACTTACAAACTTATTTATCAAAAATGTTTACGGGATGATACAAAAACCTTGAACTCTATTACCACTTATTTGTGTTTTTTGATGGTTAGGTCGGCTAACGGGCAGATGGATTTTATGGTAAGCAATCAACGCACCCTATGCACACTCGTTATACCAAAGGTGTTACTACACCAGCTCTTGTAGGCTTTCGGGGATGTAAGGATCGGGGATTTAAGGCTCCCGGAGATTTAAAGACGGGGAAAAGATAAAGTGGAGAGAGATTCGTCCTCCACTCCTCCACACTTACAAGGCAAAACACAACGTGTTGCTTCACGCCGGGATTTGTCAGGCCGTGGTATCACTCCGGTTGAAACATGGCTCTCCCACAAGTAAAAATAATTATTACAATAAGACGATAAAAAATTGCGAAGTATAATATAAACAGATAAGAAGGCGTAGAGAGTGATCGACACAATGAATTAATCTGTATGATGTCAACAATGTTTTTTTTTTAAAAAAAATCATGATGACTTGTATTATCCAATACACACATGATAAAAAATATCGAAGATCATTAGGCTCAAATTTCAATCTAAACTTACAAGCAATAAAGATTGTAATCCTTTAGAGTGGGTATACAATAACATGTTTAGAGTTGATACAATTCTTTTTGGAAACCAATGATGAGAAGCATAGATTTTAAATAAATAAATAATCATGAATTAATTAATAAAATTAAACTTCTTTCGTATTACGTGACTTAGATTGGTGATGTAGTTTCTGATAATTTTTATCAGACATTTCTAACAGTCACAGGGTGGCCTTAATCGGTTGTTTGGTTGCTATGTACTTTTCTTGAGTAGGGATCATCCAAGCCGGGGTTGCGGGGCAAGCGCAATAAGGCACTGCGGCCTCGGCCTAGAAACAGAAGAAGGAACGGGTTGTTTTTAGTCAGTAAAGGTCTGACACCCCCTCTCGCGCCGCCCTTGGCTGGAAAAGCCAATTGACGATTATCCTCTCATAAAAAAGATATCTCTACTGGGGGCTAACCATGGCGTTCAAAGTAAGATTATTTTAATCTTAGTGTGGGTAAGAGAAAGAGCTATAGAAGTTGTCTAGCTCTGTCTCTTACCCACACTGAAGTAATATTAAAACAGTCTTACTTACAATGTCATGGTTACCCCCTGGTGTGGATGCAAACAACTAGGTGCAGTGCAACGTGTCGCGAGTTTGCTTCCCGTACTGAGTTTTTGTGTAATCCACAAATCGTTGTTCCAGCTCTGGATTTTTTGTGTAAATGTAAGTTTATAAATGCTCCCACGACAAAGGAGATAATTCCACTGTTTTAAAAAAAAAACTTTCATAGAAACAAATACAGACACATAAAAAAATCACTTGAAAAGAAGCAACAAAGAAGCTAAAAATGTTCATTGAAAATAACATCATCTACATTTACATGATAAAACGCCTTCCATAGTTTGTGCCTGGTGTTGGACAGATAAATGATTTTTCTTTCTTTCTTTTCTTTCCTCTCTTCTGATTATTAGCTCGCTGTGCCCATCACGGTCCATAATAGTGACAATTTTATATTCACTTTTCCACTTTATGCACATTATAAAAAGAATAAACAATATGAATATGAACAACTTACTCACTTAAGTTAACTGAGAAAAGATCTATTTGTTCTTCTTTATGAACAGCTTGCGCCTCGCAACAACCTCATAGCGCTTACGCTTTTCTCACTCAGTCCATTCATGTGAAAGAGCTGGCATTTACAATAAAAAATACTAACTTTTTAGTTGTTTCTTTCAAAACGAATCTTAGAAAGTGTCTGTGCCTGATTTAAGGAACCAAAGCTTTTTCGGTTTTATCTGTATTTTCAATAACCCTAGCATGTCTTACGATAGTTACTTACTATATGTATAAAAACAGTGAAAAGGGGTGTGTTTACTAAACTTAAAAAACAGATGCGGTCACCATTACCCATCATAAAATTCATATAGATAACAATTTAATTTCGATTGCGTATCAATGTTGTATATAAACGATTCCAAAAATAAACATTTTATTTACTGTACCTTGATAACAACTAAAACAAGACGTGTTTTTCATGTCATTCAAGTGAACTCAATGTAAAAATATAAACAATAGAATTTACTTTAAAATTTCGTATTTTTAAATAAAAAGTTTAACTCTAAGAAAACTATTGGTAAGTTTCTTTCAAATTACATTTTTTAATAATGGAATATACATACATTTTTATTAGTTGACCCGACAAACTTCGTTGAATTGAAAAAAATTGTAATGTTGCAGTGTTTTGTTCCCACCTATTTAATATTCTTTGCAAAAAAATATTTTGAACAGAACCGTCACCCTGGTAATTAAATAAACCACTATAAAATGATTTATTTAATTATTTTAATATATTTATATTACACACACTGTTTTGAAAGATATGATTGAATTTGAACTTTGTGTAGCGGTAAGAAAGTGCAAATGTACTTTTTGACGTTAGGAACACACCTAGATTTCTTAGACAACAGTGAGTGCTCGTTATTTAATATGAACTTTATGTAAGCTCAAATTGATTTTACGTTTTATTCAGAAAAAGTTTGTATGTGAAAAAGAAAAGGGCTGGGGGTTTTCCGGCAGTTATTTGATTTTTTTCTCCGTAAGAACCATCCTTGGACTTCAACGAACGTCTTAAAAAAGAATTGGTCTAATTGGTCCAGACGTTGTTGAGTTATGCGCTTACCAGCACATTTTGCGATTCCTTTTTATATTATAGATATCAAACTGTTTCATTTACTATAAACAGGAATGTTTGTATTTCTGGATGGACTAGTATTTGTTATGTTTGCTATTTCTTTCAATAAATAGTCTCTAATGACCCGAAATATCTTATACTGGTAATGCTGGCGAAGCTGCTGGCGTTATGTACTAGCGAGCCGCCCCGACTTTACACGGGTTCAACGATACCTAACACTATACATATATCTCCACAATTTAATTGATGTTATTATAGATGATACACGTTCCTCTTCAATCACACTATCTATTGAGAAAAACGCATCTAAATGTGTTGCGTAGTTTAAAATATTTAATTAAGCATACATACGGATTTAGGGACAGAGAAAGTGACCTTTTTTATATAATATGTAGTGATATTTTTTTTATGTAATAGGTCGGCAAACGATCATACGTATAACTTGATGGTAAGCAATCAGCGCCGCCCATGGACACCCGCAACGGAGGAGTAACGAGTGCGTTGCCGACCTTTTAGGGATTAGGAGATTTAGGGATTGGGGGAGGGGAAACACAGCGCTGTGTTTCACGCCGGTTTTCTGTGAGGCCGTGGTATCACTCCGGTCGAGCCGACCCATTCGTTCCGAAGCATGGCTCTCCCACACTTAAATGATATAATAAACATAAAATATAACTAGTTCTAAATAAATTTTGTACGGCCATAACAAATTTTAAATGCACCCGGCATTGTCTGTCTGGATAACTCTGAAAAGAAATACCGAAACAAACTCAAAATTCAGTCAGTAAAATGTTATGCACCTAATGTTAATAAAAACAGCTGATAGTAGGTAGATACATATTGTCAATTGTCATTGACATCGTAGGTACGTAACAACATTCTTATCTAAAAATGTATCTGTTTACTTTTAACTATCAGTAACTTTGTTATAAAATTATTACATAACGAAAAATTTCAAGCAATAATACTTTTTCCGAGTTATACGTACTTTCTATGATTATTTAGACACCACTGACATACGGTGAAGGTAAACATCGTGAGGAAACCTGGACTTATAATTTCTAATTATAAGTTTGAAATCGCCAACCCGCATTGAGCAAGCGTGGTGATAATTGCTCAAACCTTCTTCGTGTTAGAAGAGGCCTTTGCTCAGCAGTGGGCACTTATAGGCTGATGTTGATGATGATGATGAAGATACACGAGTTACAACTTCAAGGTTGAATAACTAGATCTCAGAATACAGAACAAACCAGAATCCGCGTTCACTCATAATTACATGTCGTCA